AAAAAGAGGAAAATGAAAACTGCATACCACTAGATTACTACGAACATTAACTAGGCTTCATCAAGATAAGTTAGTTATATGCATGAGAAAAAAGCATTTAATAGTCAAAACAAGAAAATCAAACATCTCACATCTTCGAAGAAGAAAATTAGACAGATGAATCTTTGATAATATAAAATAAACTTAAAAGTATCAAAAGCCACCTTTTTTTTCCTCCAAAAAATCACAGAATATCCTTGAAGTACTCTTATGAAGAGACAAAAGCAAACTCAAGATTGAGAAATGAAAAAAATCAAAGAAATATTAACGTCCAACTAAAATTTATATAACAAACCTCATCACACCATTGTTGTACAGAATGTGCCTATTTGAAAAACAGAGTCTTTCATCTACCGTACAAATACCCAATTCAAAATGTTGGATGGATAACATTAAGAGCATCTGTATAAGATTTCTTTCCCTTATCAAAACAGAACAAAAATTAAAAAATACTCAAAATTGAGACAGCAACAACTAAAAAAGAGGCAAATACGAAACTAAAGAAGAGGTAGCGTTCCACAAGTTGAATTAAGCTTGTATATATTATGAATAGGAAAATTATCCAAAAAACTTCAAAATGAATTACCTTTTTTTTTACCCGTATAAAGCCACTTAGTTAATGAATCGATCAAATTGGATTCATTATCTCCTCCGATTATATATGAAAAAGGATGTTTTGTCTCAAAAACCTGACGTGTAACACATAAAGTTCCTCTAGATTCGAAATGTTGTGTGAAGGAAGATGTTATTAACTTTCCTGGATTTTTCTTTCTGTCACGTTTCATTGGTGACACTTTGTTTTTGTTTTGATCAGCATGGGCTCTTTTTTTAGATAAGATTCTTCAGTCATATTGATCTGAGAAAGATCTTTATCAAGTAGAATAAAGTCATCAAGAGTATGCAAAGGTTTTTGACAGTTCTTTTGTTGCATCTGCATATAATAGATATATTGATTAATTTACAATCAACAGATGCAACACTTATTTATGTTGGTTTCTTTTACAACATTACCATCATATTTTGCCCCAATTGTATTTACATCAGCAGCCTCTTGTACTGTAAGCAAAATAAATATTTTAATAATGGTATCAAAACAAAACAAAAGAAGTTTAGTTGAAGTTAAGAAAATTAATACCATTTATATCAGCAACAATCTCCAACAGAACTTTTTCAATAGCAATTCCTGCAACATCTTCATCTGTACATAACAAGAACATTTAAAATAACAGAATTGAATTAAAGTATTTAAATATGTAATATATTTGTATAAAATCCTTCATTACCTATTTTACTTGATACTCTTTCAAAATTTTCAACATCAACAAATTCAACTAAAGCTTTTAGCACTTGAGATTCTTCATTTTGATTTGATCCCATAACATGAGCATCGTTCCCTCTCGATTCACTTACAGATGCATTAACACGGGGAGAAAATGTTATATATGAAATTAACATATTATAAAAAAATAAAAAATATATCAAAACTAATTGGAAAATGAAATATTGAATTCGTGTCACTTATAGATTAACTGGAAGAAGTTACTAGACTATATATTAAAATTATATTATGAATATAACAGAAAATGTACTGAAAATACAAACGAACCTCCATTAAAATCTAATCCACCCAAAAATGTCTCGCCAGCCTATTTCTTAGATGGTTCCCTGACTTCTCGAATAACAGAGCTGCTACCACCACTCTTAGGAAACAACAAAGAAATATCCTCTAATAATTGTTTGTTTGAGTTCACCAAAACTTCTTTGATTTGATTGAATCCTAAATCAATCTTCTCTTCAAGCGCTTTGTTATTTTCATTCACCTAATAGATATTAAACCATAACGCAAATATTAAAAAAAATAACAGTTTTAAAATAAAAAACCTAAAGTCGAATTTGTGTATACTTTTACAAGCTCTTTTCTCAATTTTATGACTTCATTGGTCAAAATGTCTAGATCATAACTTGATCCTGTAGGCTCCAATTTTAAAATTTCAGCATGGTAATCACGAGGTTCAGAAAGCCTGAATTTGGATACTTCATCTTCACTAGCCACTATGTTCTCAAACTGAACACCAAATACACAAAATAAAATTAGATATAGTAACTTGAGTTGAAATAAACAATATAATAAAATGTATTAACTTTGTCTAAATACCTTTTTCTTGTAGGCATGAAGAGACATTTCTCAATATATTTTAGCTATGGACTTTCGGCAATTGTCTTCTGATTCAAGATTCTTGGAATAGAGTCAGCATCCCGAATAGCTATATCTTCATCAACCTTTGAACAACAATCAAATATTCAAATTTGAGGAGCAAGAAATAAGCCACCAATTCTATAGTACTTATGTGTTGACTTAAGCTCATGTCTCACGGAATCAGACAACTTTTTGTAGACATCTAAATCCCACGAATATGAATTGTATTTTCCACTTTCCATAAGGTAAAAATCTCTATTGCTAATTTGGTATTCGTTGTCCTCAAATTAAAAAATTATTAATAAAGTATAGAACAACCAATGAAACAACTGAGTCATCATCTATGAATTTTTTAGCTAAAAATAGTGCACGTAGATGACTCTTTGGAACTGTCATTTTTTCCAGGAAATAACTACCCATCAAACTATATCTAGATTGGTATCATTGATAGAAATGTCATCACTAACACAGTTTAAGCCCGTAACTATCCCAAATTCTCTAAGACCAAAAAATAACTTTTTGTTATTTATTTCAACAGCAAACACATCATTCGGTGTGTGTTTTAACTCTCTATTTATAAGACAATGAATAAGTTGTAGTTGTGTGCTCGATTTTGGAAAATTAAGAAAGTACCCATGACATCTATTCCTAAACAACTCAAGTTGTTTATCAGATAAAGATAGTTTGATTTGTTCAATGACACTATAACTAGTGTAAGATGACCACCTACTCGGAATATACACAACATTTGAATGTTTCCAGAATTTACGATCTTGCATATGCATTAAACATGAATTAAAAATGTGTTACTACATACTAAAGATGAATTAAAGATTAACTTCACATACTATGTGTCAAAGAAAGGTAGTAATTAGTTGAATAAAAGATGAATTAAAGTTGAATTACAACAATGACCATTCTGGTTCCAAATTCAGAAACAAATTATCAACTTCAACACAAGCAACCTAAACAATGCATGATATTGTTAAAGGTTTCAACTCATATCTGTTCATGTCCCTTGAAAAGTTTATAGGGGAAACTAAGGCAGTGAGAGGAAGCATGTTTGATCTTGAGTTTGTTATCCTAAAAGAACTGCAACATCAATACATCATACATTCACAAGCCTACTCTCCTCTCTAAGAGCTATTCACAAAGTTGATTAGAAAGATTACAGAAATGCAGTTTATAAGACAAATCAATTTGCCACCAGAAAGAAAAAATAAAATAAACAAGTTAATGGTCAAATCTAATTATTAATTTAGAATCATATTGAGAAGGAATGATAAGTAAAAAAACACTAGTAAGACAATAACAAACTAACATGACAATAGTTCTGTAACGTGGAATTGGACAGATCTCTAGAGATACTTTTCATAACTTGATTTGTTTCTTTCTTTTTTTTTGATTTTGGGGGAGGTTTGGGATAAAGACATATGCTACAAAATACAATGTCAGAAAGTAGAAATTTTAAGTTGGGGAGGACATAAGATCTAGTAAGCATCTTATTGTTATTTTGTATTTACAGGTACACTATGTTGTTGAATTTGTGCTGATATAAAGGTCACCCAATCAACTATCATCTCATTGTGCACCATTGAGGAACTTTAGTAGTTAACCAACTATGAGCCTGATATATAACCTCTTAATATATTCTTCCTATATTCAATATACTAAGACACTCAAATTCAAACCCAGATAAGGTCAGCACTTAGAATCTTACCTGCTCTATTCACTTGTTGGTCATACTAAAGTTGAATTAAAGATGAATTCCACATGCTACATCTAAAAAACAAGCAGTAATCAACATATAACCATTGGTAAACAACAAATAACTAAGAAAAATACATAAACATAGATTCAAATACTGCTAACACATACCGGATATCTACTCTCTGTAGAATGACACTTTCGGGTAAACGATTTCGTGTTTTTACATCATTCACCGACTTTTTCTTCTCCATTCATCTTTATTTTTCAATTTTTTTGACTGAAATTGAGGAGGTAAATCCTCAAAATCATCATCACTGTCCACGAGTTTCTTCGACGTAGATGCCAAATTAACACAATTTTTTTCGATTTCTTCAGTATTTTATCCTCTTTAACTCATTTTTTTACCTTTCTTTTGCTTCTTGTTCTGCTACTCATTGTTCTTCTCCTCATCGTTCTTCTCACCCGATATTTGTGAGATTTTCAAGCTAAAACTTGGACCGTCATTAACTTCATCCATAGAAGTAGAAGACGAAACTTGACGCTTCTTTCGACTTTCTTCTATAAACTTTCGGATTCGAAGTATCAATATCCCTCACTAGCCGCAGATTTCTTCTAAGAGATTTTCCATTACCTTCTTCCATTAAAATTTGTGCCAAAAAATGAAAAAGAAAGAACAAAAAATCCTAATTTTTTGGACAGACGAGGAAAAGGAGAAAGAAAAGAGCAAGAGAGGATATGACTTATGAGCGAATACGTTTTTACTTGGTTTAAAAATTATATAAAAAAAGGAATAAATGTGTTCTAAAATTGTTTGTAGTTAATATAGCTAAAAATTGACAAAAATAATACTTAAAATTGATAATTATAAAATAAAAGATTTTTGTTTATGTAATTTTCACTAAATTTTTCCATAACTATTGGCCCGTGACCTCAAGATTGTTCATAACTAGTTTGATTAATAAGGAGTAATTCAATTTTAATTAATTTTATTTTAATTTAATTTAATTAGTAATTTTGATTTTTGATGTATAACAATAAAAATAAAAGAGAAAAACGAGTTCTAGAGAGGGAGAGTGAGTGAGAAAACAAAAGGCTGTTGTTGGGATCCCATCTTCCTTAACTTCCAATCCCAGCTTCCTTTTCTTCCTCCACCCCACCAGCACCACTATCACCACCAATACCGCCACACACCGCCGTTGACGATCCAAATTCCCACCGTAGACTTTTACAAAAATATATCAATTATGTCGATCAACATGAAAACTCTAACCCAAGCCTTCGCCAAAGCCTCAGCTAAAGCCTCAGCGGTGATCGAGAAAACGGTTCAAACCACCGTACAAGAAGTTTCTGGTTTACCCAGAGCTTTACAAGACTACGATCTCTTAGATCAGATCGGGTCAGCCGGACCGGGCCTAGCTTGGAAGTTGTACTCGGCCAAGGCCCGAGATGGCCACGCCGTGTACCCAAACGTTTGTGTTTGGCTTCTTGATAAGCGAGCTCTTTCCGAGGCACGACAACGGGCAGGGCTATCCAAGACTGCTGAAGACTCGTTTTTTGACATCATTCGGGCTGATGCCTCCCGGCTGGTGAGGTTGAGGCATCCTGGGGTTGTTCATGTAGTGCAGGCACTTGATGAGAGTAAAAATGGTATGGCTATGGTTACAGAACCCTTGTTTGCTTCGGCTGCTAATGCTTTGGGGGATTTGGAGAATATTGAGAAAGTTCCCAAAGAGCTTAAAGGAATGGTAATCATGTTATTCTGACTGTCTTTTGGATAATTGTGTAATTCACTGCATATTTCTTTGATTTTCTCATGGCAAGTTTGGATTTTAATAGTGATTATGATGATTTGAGGTGTTTTAAGTGTGTCATTTTATTTTGAGTTAATTGTGGTTTTATCACCGGGAAAGAAGAGTAAAAAACTGAAGAGAGAAAATAGATTGTAATTAGTATGTTATCATGCTGTGACGGTGTGGCCTAATTAAAGTTTTGTGTCATTTCCTAAGTAGATAGTTCACTTTTACTTATTTAGTTAGTTTACTTTGGGTTTATGGGTGCCATTTACTAACTTATGTAGTAGATGTAAGGTTGACTCTGACAACTACCGCCTACTAAGGATGGTTTGTATTAGACTATCATATATAGTTAGATGTAAAATTCACTGCCAAGGCTATTAGGGACTCAGTGTACTAGACCAAAAGTTTTTTCTAGCTCTTTGAAGGTCCATAATATTTAGTTTTGGCTATCTATCTTTCTTGGCAAGTTTGAAGTGTTTTTGAGTTTTGTTGGTCATTACATGGGTTTTTGAGTTACATTGTGGTTTTATCACAGAAAGAAAGAAAAAAGTGAAAAAGAACAAGTGGGTTACTAGTATAGATTTTCGGGTTGCAATAATGTGATGATAACAACTATCTCTCAACCACACCCAAGGGTGTGACCTAGTGGTCAATGAAGTGGTGAGGTCTCAGGTCTAAATCCTGCTGTGTACAAAAATACTAGGCAATTTCTTCCTATTTGTCCTAGCTTTGATAGGCAGAGTTACTCGATATTTATTGCTTGTGAGAGGTAGCAGGTATCCTATGGAATTAGTCGAGGTGCGCATAAGCGGATCCGGACAACTCTTGTAAAAAAATGAAGAAGCTCTCTCAAGTACTTTGGGATTGATGTTTAGCTAATTGAGTAAGTAAACATGATGGTAACGTTGTTTCATTTCCTTAGTAACTGATTAAAAAAGCTAGATTGTTTGAGTGCGTAGACTGATACACCAAACAAGACCAAAAAAAGCTACTCCCTCTGTTTCAATTTATATGATACACTTTCCTTTTTAGTCAGTCCCATCAAGAATGACAGATTTGCTGATTTCGCAAATATTTAATGACGATCTGTTGGGTCCCAGTTATTTAACAAAAAGTCCAAATTGTACTTTTCTATGTAAAATTCTTTATTTACGGGTCGATTTGGAACATGCAAGTTCTTCCCCCAGTCAAACTACTTCACATAAATTGAGATGGAGGGAGTAGCAAAAATCACAAGGGAAGCAAATTTCACACAAAGTTAGGAAATAGTTTGCCCTGTTCAACAGGTTCTTACTATCCTACTACACGGCCCAAACATACTAAAAGGAAGAGTTTGATCCTAGCTCAGAAGGAACTCTAGCTATGTGTCATTTTTATAGTAGATATTATACATTATTTTAGGTTTATGTGTGCAATATACAAACTTTACATTAGATATAGACCGACTCCAGCCATGCAGGACTATTATCATTGGACAAAATGTTTAGATTTACTAACTCAAGATGTCAGATTGACTCTGAAAGCTAGAGATGGTTTGTATTAGACCAAAAGTGATGCTTAAGTAGTTGATTGTAAAGTCTGCTTTCAAATATGCTAGAAAAAAAGTTTCTGAGGGATGGGTTGTATCAGCAAAAGATTTTCCTTGCTCGTCTGATGTCATTAAAATTTTGATTTTTGCTTTTGTGGCACATATGTTTTGTCTAGCTGGGCAACAACGTTTGTATCATGACTCTCTTTTAAAAGAATTTCACTATATAGAGCTTGAATGTGGTCATAGGTTGTAATTGCTTGGAGAGATTTAGTGGAGAGAAGGTTTGAATTTAGCTTTAAGAAATTTATCTTAGTCTAAGTTGCTCGAACTCTCCGCGTCGGATCCTTTAAAAATACACTATTTTTGTCCGACATGCACCCGTCGACATTTTTGAATAGTCTGAGCAACATAGATCTTAGTGGTGCTTGTAAGAGTGTCCTTGTCTGTATCTATATAGAACACATTGGCACGAGCACATGATATATGTCTTCAACCTGTGCATATGGTTATCATAATTATATGTGATGATTCCAGATGTTGGAGTCAAGATTGGTGTGGAGATTCCTCTTCACCTATCACCACAAGTCATTGTCATCCTCTACGGACAAAAAAGTTCTTGTTGGTGGCAAAGTGGGAAAGACACAATTTGGATGAACAAGTTCTTGTTGGTTGCAAATTTGAGTTTTGTGGGAGACTTACGTCTCACTATAGGTATAAGCATGTAATTTTTAGAACACCTAATTTTGCCTTAAAAGACAAATTATTAGTTGTGGAATGATTTGGCCTGAATAGAGCATAATAATATAGAAGGATTCATAGATTTTGTGGTTCTATATTTTAAGAAAAGGTAGTGAACTCAAGCTAATATTTATTAACCAAAACTAAAAAACACACAAATTACCAATATTTAATGTACACGTTAAACAAATGATGAACTATTTAAACACTATATAGTATATAACGCTATCCTTACAAAATTGAATGAATATCGATCATATAAACTTTTGCTGAAGATCTTGATAATCACCAAAATTACAAATTGCACTTCAAATTGTATGTTTCACTGTGATTATCTTATAATTCGTTATGACTTTTCTAGGTTCAATCTTTTTTTTTTCAAGTCACAAAATTATCACTTGTCAGCAAATTATCACAATGATGAAATCACAACTCACAAAATGAGTCGTAAAGCTTGTTGAAAGAAAAGCACAAAGGAAGCTTCTCAAGCACCTAATTTGCATAATGTGCATTATGCATACTAAATAAATTGATAGAAACATAATGGAGGAGTGGAGTCTTCTCATATAAACATATGCAATTGTAAATATTGGAGTTACTTCTTGCTCTAGTCCAATTAATTATTTTTACCCTCAACACTAACACATTAAACAAAAAGGATAATACTTGTAGAACCAAGAATATGTCAGTAGTGTAACTTCTTTAATTGTACATAATCTTAAAGTAATTTATTTACAAAATATATCCTTAAGATTGTATATGGTATAGTACATATTTAAAGGTAAGCAATTAGAAAATTGTCAGGGATTTTGGCAATAAAATTTAGGAACCAAAACAGGAAAAGTTGACTATAAATGATCAAAATATGAGACATTTGTAGAATCAAAGATTAGAAATAAACTTTTCATTAAATTACTATACATTATAATAGTCAAATAAATTTAAAAAATAATAAGAGGAAGAGAGGAGAAACGAAAATATGTATAGGAAAAAATTGAGGTAGGTGAGGTTTGATCGCATAGTTCACAAAAATTGAGGACTTTGATTGCCTGTCAATTACCACCGAACCAATACTTCCGTTTGTGTGTGGTTTGTAGTTTGCACCTAAACAACTATGCATATTTACTGATTTTTCTAGTACAAATACCACGTCTGAGCAAAAGCTACTGGGTTTGTTCGAAACCCCACCTAAAACTTTAGCTCGACCCCTGGCTATAGTTGATCTTTTTTCATGTAAAAGAGGTATTGTATTGACATAGGGCAACCAGTGGGAAAGTCAGCTCCGTAGAAACAAAAAAGTGCATCGCTTTGGAGTCAGCTATGCCTGGAATGTAGAACATCTCTTGTGGAGCTGAAAATGCGGAGCTGGACTGGCTACGGAGCATAGAGCATGAAAATGTCTCCAGTTGTCATGTGAACCTGATAGAAGGAAAGGAACTTTAGAGCTTTTGAAGGCCCATAAATTTCAAAAGAACAAGAAAAAATAATGTTCGACCCCCCCCTCCCCCCCCCCCCCCCCCCCTTTTTTTTTTCTTCCTTATTTGTGAAGTACACATATCAATCCTGTGTATATTGATGAGGATAGGGTTTCTCAAGAATTATAAATTTGTAAAACTTTCCTTGCCAATCTTTCGTTCTGGGATCACCTTTTGCTAATAAAATTTCATTTGATTATCAAAAGAGAGAGTAGTAAGGGATTGTCAACTCTCAAAGATATGAAAAAAATAGTTGTTAGAAGTTCTCTAACATACTGGTGGTATACAAAATAATAAACCATGTTTTTGGTTCTCACAACAACATATCTAGTGTAATCTCACAAAATGGATCTGGAGCCTGCATTTTTAGGCTCTCACCCCATCAATTTTTTTTTGCGACTCCCAATAACTCTGCTATATGTAAAACCAAATATTTCTGAACTATCTGGAAAGGGTGATAAAACAAGTAATTGGTGATTGAGTAGATGGAGTCTTGTAGCAACTCCTTATGTTTAGAAGCCAAAGCTTCCGATAGGTGACTGTATTAATCATTTCATCTCCTTCCTAAATTCACGCCATCTGTGAGGATTGTGTGAGTGTACATACTTGAGTTTTACTTGCAAATTTAGATTTTAAGGAACATCGAATTCAGTACGTTTGTGCGATAAAAGATACAAATTATCACCTTGTGTCTTGTAAATTGTGATTTAGCACTTGGTCATAATGGGCCCTTTCCTGATGCCATCTTGCTTCATGCAGGAAATGGGGTTGCTTGAGGTTAAACATGGTTTGCTCCAAATTGCAGAAACGTTGGATTTCCTCCATAGCAATGCTCGTCTAGTTCATCGGTCTATATCACCTGAGGTATTTTTGTTGTCTCATTTTCTAACTATTTATGTCATTACCTCGGTGTGGGTTATGCATTGCTATCATGCTTATTATTGATATGAAACCTTCTATTTCTCAACTGAATATACATTTAAACTACAAATATAGAGATGACCGAGGTCGTGAGATATGTTGCCAAATATATCCTATATCGGTAGTGAAGTGTTCCCTTTGTTGTTCGGTGCACTAGAAGAGGAGGAAAGAAGCTCTTTCTAGAACGTGTATTCACAACTCATTTCATATTGTCCCTACTGTGGAGTGTTAATTGTTCTCCTCTTTGTCCCTTTCTTCTTAACACTATGTTATCATATCTAATTGTTAAGGTATTATTTTCAATCATGTTTCTAGTGATTAAGTGTGGCTTCTTTGTTTGGAAAAGAAGTACGGCAAGGTTATATTATGTTAGTAAAATGCTATGGTAGGTCATGTAGCTAAAGATTACCTGGAAGCAGTGTTGTGAAAGCAGTAAGCGAGGCGAGGTGAGGCTTAGCAGGTAGCGCTTCTGGGTGTGAGGCGACATGACTTCAATGAAGCGGTCGCTTCTTGGACAGATGCGTGAAGCAGATGAAGTGATTGCTTCATATGTGTTTTTAAAAAAGTCGTTTCTTAGGAGAAAAAAGTAAGTAGGGGCATATTTTTTCTCTCTTAAGAAAAGGAACTTTTTGATTAGTTTGCTGCGGAAGGAGATTTCATCTGCTTCCATAATCACTGGTAGGAGAAATTTGTTTTCTTTCTCCTTCGTCCTTCTCTTTTCTGCTGGCACCTATGTTTCTGGCTCCTCCTTCTCGCTGTTCAATTTGTTCGCCCTAGCTTCTAGGGTTTCTTGTTCCCGTCGCTCTTTGTTCCAAAACAATTTTTGTTTTGTTAAATTCTCTGTTTTTCTTTTTTCAATTCTGTTAGTTTTATTTTATTTGAAGTCAGCTTATAATCTGAAAGACTTGCTTATATACATATATCAACAGACATATATTTGACTTCCTACTTTTAAGTTTTTAAATTGAAAGATTTACTTATATATATTTATTTCTGTTGAGTTCTTGTTTATTTGGTTATTCTATTTATTTGTGCTAGATTTACGTTCATGTATTTTAAAAATTGCTTCATTTCGATGAAATGAGTGCTACAAAGCTTCTCATTTCTCACTTAAAGCGGTAGGGGCCCTTGTCACCTTTTTCCACTTCCCGTTTTTAAAAAGAGAGTCAGACAGGATCTGGCGGGGGAAGTGGGGGATTTGGAAGAATTAATTGGAGAAATATAAGTTTTTGTCTAAAAAAAAAGATATTCCTGTACTCGTCTGTAAAATTCTCAGCTCAGTATTTTTTTGGTTCTGAGCTTTATCATCTATAAAATGTTACCTTGATTAAAAGAACAGCCAGACAGAGCTTGTGTTGCACCAAGGTATGTCCTTAGTGGTCAATGAGTTGGGTATAAATTTTGGAGACGAGGTTCAAATTCTAGTAGACACAAAAAACACTGATATTTTTCCATTTGCTAGCGTTGGTAGGCAGTGACCCGATGTTTGTGCTAGTGGGAGATAGTAGGTGCCTGATGGAATAGCCAAGGATGCCAGCTAGCCCAAACACCACTGTTATAACAAATAGAAAATAAAGAGAGGTTGCGTTGTGCATTCAAAGAAGGGAAATTTATGTTTCAAGAAGTAAATTGTTTTACTAGCACAAGGGTTAAGGGTAATGGTAGATTTTGTTTTGCTTTTTTGAGAAATAAACAATGGTGCTGATGACTGTGAGGTTGGCCATTTAAGATATTTTAGAGGCTAATGGAGTCGTATTGGGATTTCTTGCAGAGTTATGTGGAGGATTAGCTTAAATGTTATGCTAGTACCATTCTTCTATTCCGCCAGTTTCATTTTATGTGATACACTTTCTTTTTTTGGTCTGCTCCAAAAGTGACCTTTTTATATCTAGAAAATAATTGAAACTTTAAACTTTTCTTTTTACCCTTAATGAGATAATTTGTGTTACACAAATGTTTATGACTTGTTTTAGACCACAAATCCTTATTTCTTTTTTAAACTTTCTATGCAGTCAAACACTGTAACACAATGAGATGAAGGGTCTTCTAGAGCAGTATAATAATCTAATCCGTTATTTAATCGTCCTTGGGGGAAGAATGGGTTCTTGCATATATAACTGCAAGTTTGTCAAATGAGATGACTCTTTTTCTTGTTGTTGTGAGAAGTCTTGCTTTTTGAAACTGGTAACTATTGTATAATAATAGATATATATAGCAAAACAATACATTAATTGTACTGAAACCATATTATGCATGTACTCAGGGCACTAAACTTATCTACCTTTATATTGAATCTAGGACATCAATAATAGTATCATTTGAATACATCTGTTTACATCAAAAATACAAGAGCATGAGACAATTCAATTTGCTTATTTACAGACAATTCTCTGTACCCTCAAAGCATCTTGAATTTCTTTTCTTCGTTCCAAATTGTCCATCAGATGCAAGCAGGGACCATTCCCCTTCTATTCCTGTTCTTTGCCAGTGTTACTGCTGCCTCCCAACTCTGTAGAGCTTCTGTGATCTTCCCAGGCGTAATGAAAGTTCTCCATATTTGTTCTGTCACCCTGCAATGTAGGAATAGATGGTTAACTGTCTCTGCTTTAACTCCAGACAGAAAGCATCTGGAGCACATTGTGTTCTTTCTTCTCATTAAATTGTCCTGAGTGAAGACAATTTCCTTTGCCAAAATCCACACAAAATGAGCTACTTTGTGTGGGATATTAGTTCTCCTAATATGCTTCCAAGGCCAATTATCGATCTGCTGATTAGACTGGTTCATCTGCGTTCACTTTGAAAAGACCACTGTTGCTACCTTGCCACCTCAATAAATCTTCCCCTGCCTGGAACTCATTGAATTGTTCAGGAATGCTGTAAAATTTTGTTACCCCATCCATTTGTCTCTCATTGAGTTGTCTTCTAAATATAAGATCCCATCCTTGAGGTGTCCACATTTCTGCTAGTGTCCTCGGTGAATAACTAGATTGAGAATCTCTGGATATTGCTTTTTCTGATTTCTATTTTATGCCAGTTGTCCTCCCATAAGCTAGTTTTGTTGCCGTCACGGACTTTAATCTTTGTATTGCTCTTTAGTTCACTCCAAATACCCTAATAGACCTCCATAAGCTAACCCCATATGGTGTGGTAACTTCTTTAGTCATCCATTTGTTTTCCTCATATTTTGCATTTATGACTTTACCCGACAAAAGTTTAACTTTCATTTGAAAGCCTCTAGAGCCATTTCATTTTCAGTACTTTATTGTGAATGTTCAGATTCCTGTATCCTAGCCCCCTATATTTCTTTCCAGAAGTAAGAGCTTTCCATGTGACTAAATGGTACCCTCCCTTTTCTTTGTTACCTTGCCACAAAAATTTCTCCTGATACTGTACAACTTTTTGATGACCCCTAATGCAATCGAGAACAAAGACATCATGTATGTAGGAAGAGCATCTAAACCTAAGTAAATTTGTGTCAATCTACTGATCAGAGATAACTAGTGTGTCTTCCACCAGGCCAATTTCTTCTCACATTTTTCAATGGAACTATCCCAAATTCCCTTGGAAGTAGATTTAGCTCCCAATGCAATCATAGATATATAGTTGGTTAAACACCAACTTTTCCACCTAAATTCCCCCAAGTGTTCCATCTTTTGGACTTTGTTAATAGGAAATAGAAGTCTTTTCTTCTAATTAAGGCGTAGACTAGATATTTCTTCAAAGTTCAAACACTAGTAGAATCACCCGTAAGTACCTCAATTGGTCTTCTTTTGCATCACAAAAATAAGGGTGTCATCAACATACTGAAGTTGTCACTCTCGTACTACCCCTACAACTTCTAGCCATTACTAAACCTTGAATCAACCCAGTTTGATAGGAAGTGTCCTTATGCCTCATTTGTTTTCCTTAAGATTAAGACATTTGAATGTGAATGAATATCAAAGTGATCAAGATGTTGTCTCTAGATATGAACACCTAATGGTTAAGATTGTTTGTTTTTCAACATTTGAATGCGCATAATTTATTATTTGTAAACATAATAAAATTGGACAACAAAAGTAGTTAAATATTAAAAAATATAAATTTTAACAAAAAAATATCATTATTTGATTTTAAAAAAATGAAACATTTATGTTTGCTAGTAATGGTGGATATGTTTTGTGGTGGTAGTGGTGGTTGGTGATGTAGTGACTGGTATGATGGTGACGGTTGGTAGTGGTGGTGGTGCCTATGATGGTGAAGTTGGTTATTGTTAGTGGTTGGTGGCTTAAGTATATGTGGTGGTTGACAATGTGTTGGCAGTGGTGCTGGTTAATGGTGGAGGTGATTATAGTAGGAATCGGTTGAAGTGTTGGTAGTCATGGTGGAGGTGATGGTGGTGGCGAAGGTGAAGACGGTGGTGGCGATTGTGGATATAATTATAATAATGGAGGTGGAAGAATGCAGGTGGTAGTGACTGAAGTTGGTGGTTGACAGTGGTGGTGATTGTGAAGACAGAGTTGCTTGATGATTGACGTCGATAATGTTGGTGGTGATTGTGATGATAAAAGTGGTTAGTGGTGGCGCCTGGTAATTGTGGACACAGTGGTGGTGAAACTTATCCACTCAAAAATATCTCTTAATGATATTAAGATTTTGTTTAAGATTTTAATGATCAAGACCTATTCAGACCAAATAAGTTCTTAAATCTTAATGTAAACAAATTCAGATCTTCTTTAAGTGCAAACAAATGAGGCCTTGATATGCTTTGTAATCTTCCAATAGCAAGGGCAGGAAGTTTCTTGGCACAAATTTTAGATTGGTATTGTTTGGATGTCACGGTCATACACCTGGAAAATGATAGCTCATTGCTCCTTGTGTTATAATTTTTTTTTTCTTTTTAAGGAGAACAGGTTGGAATTTATACCTTGTGTTGGGATGTGAAACTGAAAATTGATTTTCCATAGCTAATTACTTTTGCAGACTATTCTCATCACTTCAAATGGAGCTTGGAAACTTGGTGGTTTTGGTTTTACCATATCAGTGGATCAAGCAGCTGATTTATCCAACATTCAGGCTTTCCATTATTCTGTGAGTAAATACTTGCTTGGAGCTTTAAATGTTGCCATTCTCAAAAAGTGATTCTAGGATTTGGGAGTTCATGTTTTATTTGACTTGAACTTACTATGCTTCATCAAGTCAAATAAGACGTAATTATTGACATGGCTTGTATTTTTCCATGGGTTCATCATTTCCGTTATTTCCTTTTTAATACTGCTCTGAAATGTTATTTACCTTGAGCGAGGGTCTATCAAAAGCAGCCTCTCTACCTCCAAGGCAGAGGTAAGGTCTACATGCACTCTACCCTCTCCATACCCCACTTGGTGGGGGTTGCGTTGGGTATGTTGTTGAACTTACTTTTGGAGAACCCGCTTTTCTTAGTTCACATTTTAAAATTCCTCTGTATTGCAAAACTTACCATCAGTGCAGCTGTGAACACGGTGATGATACTATCTATACTGTTAACTGCTCGTAAGAGATTGTTTATGGAATTCTCTATGAACTGACTATGATGCTCGTGGTGTTCAGAAAATAATGCTGGGGATTTTGAAGTTAAATGTGAATGTGGGGTGGGGTGGGTTAGTATGTAGTTCATTTTCTTTCCAGTTCTGATATGTTTGTCAAGTGCTGATTTGTTCTTTTCTAAGTACATTGTAAAGCCTAGACCTCAAATATGACTGGAAGATGTTCAAACATCATGGCATGTTATCTGTCTCTCATCATAGTACGTATGGGCCACTATATTGTTGTGCTTTGATCAAGGTGATATGGAAATTTCTATTTTTACCTTGTTATAAAGGAAACAAATATGGTTTGAAATGCAGCAACTTAAAGCTTAGTAGGCGTTTGACCATAGGATTTGGGACCCCAATTTCATGTTATGATTTGAATTTGAAATTAGTGTTTGTTGATGAATTTTGCACAAAAATTCAACTTCAAATTTTAAATTAGATTCTTCAAGAAGTAAGATTTCAAATTGTTATTTCAATTTTTAAAAAATGTAAAACTTACCCATAAATTCATATTTTGTATAAAAAAGCGCATTATTTTAATTTTTTTTTTAAAGAATAGACTTATGCTTGACGTGAAGATTGTTTGTACCATGTGAATAATTATATTAAAGAATAACTAGTTACTACTATTGTTGACTAGTGGATTGTTGTAAAATTATGTGTATTTGAACGTTTGTATAACATGTACTCAGAAGTATTTAATTATAAAAGTAACATGGAGATATGCAATTTATGAGTGCAGCGTTTTAGGATATTAATTATTATGATACCTTGTTTATGAACTATGGTTTGCTCATTTGGCAAAATCGTATATGAGTTGGGTAAGTTTTATTAATTTTCACAAATTGTGGGGCTTTTGTGTTTATGAGAAATATAACTCAATAAATCCAAATTGCATGTCCAAACAAAATTGCAACTTCAAATCAACATGATTTGAAATCACTGAGTTGAATCATGTCCAAACAGGACCGTAATGCTGGTGTAGGACTGTACTAGAAGCTCCATGTTTTTCTATTTTTTGATAATAATGTTGTTTCTTAATCTTTTACTGAAGCTGCAATTTGGTCCCTATTGTTTGCATTTCATGCTTGAGATATAAAAGTAGTGCTTTAATGGGTCTCGGTGTTGGTGGTAATCAAATCCATCATATTTGGAGGACATTATCTCATATGCTCTAATTTGGTGATGGTCATAGTCATGTGTAAACACTACTTCTTCCAAATATGAAGAAAGTGTTGCTTCAACTGATCAGGCCTGCCCCATTGCATGCGTGCTTTACAGAAAAGCTCCTTATATGCAGCAGCGTGCTGAATTTATAGCAGACTCAACTCGTTCTACTGAGAAGGAAAGAGGTTACCTTGTTGTATGCTGCCACCTCGTCATGAAAAGCTCCTTATTTGTAGCAGGTGATGGATTCTATAGCAGATTTCAGCTTGTTCTATTGAAAAGGGAGTAGGTTATGATTAGATCTAGGGTCTAGGGAAGGGCCATACTTTGATTGAGAGGGAGGCAGAGGTGTTGATAGTTGGAAACGGAAAAGGGGGAAGTGTTTGAAAACTAGGCTGTCTAGGAGTAATCAGTTGGTCGAGGAAGTCAGGCAGTGTAACAATGATAGTTGAGGTAGAAGGGGGAAGGGTTTACAATAGGCTGGCTTGGGAACAAAGGTCGGGGGGGGGGGGGACTTATTTCGAAGGTTAGGAAGGAAGAAGTTTTTACAACTTGTGGCTATTGATGAAGAATGTTGCTAGGAGGAGGGGTTGGAAACAAGGCCGTTGTGTTGCGAGAGGTGTGGTAATAGTCCTGGAAATAAGAGATGCGTGTGGTGGGTGGGACGGAGTAGGTCTGACCTTAGGTGTGTTCACAGTTTGATGAAAACCAAACCAAATCAATTAAAAAAACCCGTCATTTAGTTTGTTTAGTTTGGTCTTAAATTTAAAAATCTGATAATAATTGGTTTGATTTTGGTTCTAGTAAAAAAATTGAGAAAATAACCAAACCAAAACCGATAACTATATACATAAATTTTATAATTATTTGAATATATGATATTAGTTTTTAAAAAATAATTATTTATATTTTATACATTTCAGTCATTAATTTGGTTTTAGTCTACTTATTTCACATGCAGTGATCACTTTAAAATTCCATTTACAACAATCTACGTCAATTGTATATATGTGGTCTGGTATATTGCCAGATATGCCAGTTTTTAATTTTCTTCGTGAAGATATCTCTTCAATAAGTCGCCCTCTTTGATTTCTGTTGTTGATAATTTTGTTTTAAAGTTTTATATTATTTTTGTGGATGTTAGGCATGTGAAGTGGAGGAACCTTTACAATTATGCAACTTAAACATTTTAAACCTTTGATATATTGTTGTAAAATAATTGAAAGATTCTGAATTGTTCATTTGAAATAATTGTCTCATGTCTCTGTTATTTTACTATTGTCAATTTTTCATTAGCTAGTTATAAACTGGAAAACCGAACCGAATTGCCAAGAACCAATCCAATGATGTTTATTTTATTTTATTTTATTGACTAAATTGGTTTCATTTTGGTTATAATCAAAGAAAGATCCAAACTGAATCATGAATACTCCTATCTGACCCTTGCAAGTACTGCCTCACTTTTCGTGCATAGCTTTTATTTTAAAATTCTCTTTGCACTCTTTTCTATTTTTAATTGTAAATTACATGATACATCTCCTTTTAAGTCCTTTCTTTCGTTGCTTTCTCTCTGACTTTTTCATTTCTATTATTTTACTTTTGTTGTTAATACGGTCTTCTTCCCATTGAGTAAAAGGTTTTTTGCCAAAAACTTCTTCACCTATTTTCGTTCCAAACACATCCTAAATACTTTACTGGCTTAGCATGTTTTCTGTATTAAGCTTCTGTATATCAGCGGTCTTTGTGCTGCTTTATAGAAATAAATATATCTTAAACACAAAAAAGAAGTTTGATTAGGCCACTGAAATCTGAGAACCATTTAATAAGGTCTGCGTACATCTTACCCTCCCCAGACTACACTGAGTATGTTGTTGAGGACGAAAGTGGCTCAAACAGAAACAGTGGGTATGAAATTGCATATCGGTCAAATGTACTGGACCCATAAAGAAAATTCTTGCTATTATTTATGTAGTATGAAAATACTGAAATGGCCAGTTAAGTTAAAAGTTCCAAGTCATTATGGCTTCACTCGTTAAGTGTGTATGAGACAGAGGGATGCCTCTGACGTGGCATCCTGTTATTTGGTGTTTTCCTAAGTAGGACAAGTTTTTTTGGACTCTGCAAATACATGAATGGGGTTTAATACAATATGAAATGATTTTTTTCACATATTCTGGAGTTCTGCAACTGCGGTCTCTCTCTGTCTTTTCTGATGTCAATTGTTTTCACTTCGCACACTGATGTTCTTTGTTCCCTTTTAACGTCATTGTTTATAAACAGAACATATATTGTTTTGATAAGTCAAGACATTTCATTGAGTTTACACCATAATGGTGTCAAAGCTATTTATTAAATGATTGAGTGTCTCAACTACCATATTCTATCAAAATATTCCCATCACGAGTGCACACTGGTATTTCTTATTCGCACCAAAAGAATATTAAAAAACATAATTTTTCTGATACATAATGTGCATGACATAAGCTTCTTATGTTCCAAATAATCCAAAGAATACATAACGGCATGATGTTCCATACTGCCTCTCTTCTTTTTATACTCCAACAGGTGATTGTCTTTGCTGCTTTCCTCGTCTTAACCCAGGAGAATACAAATCTTTACTTTCTATCTTTCAATGAGATACCAATTACTTGGATGCGTTGGAAGGCCTCTATAGCTAAGTTGTAGAATAAAATATCTATTACAACTGGAAGGAACTCAAGATGTTCTGAAGACAAGCAAAGCTCCATAAAAAAGATCCAATAAATTGTATTTTTAACCTATAAAAGAGGATCAAAATGAAATGTTTCGTGTTGTTTTCATTTTTTGTGTAGAAGTCTAGAAGAATATGTTAACGACGATGGAAGTATGATTTATATTTTATAGACTCCTTATGGTTGTACATACTTACATACCTACATACTACTAAGTGCTACTTTAATATAAACAATACCTTCTGAAAAAAAAGCTATTATAAATGTGTTGTGAATCTGCAATGTAATGAGATATGATCAATAACCTTCTGTCACCTCCCTTAACGCAAGCAACACCGACTCCACCAACTTTCCCTTCTTTCTCAAATCATCTTCTGTTAGTAGTGTCTGGTACCACACACCATGAAATGAAAGCAACCTTTTTAGGTGCTCTTAGTATGCCAGAATTTTCGTCACGCTTCCCTCCTTTCCTAACTTAAGTCTTAGTTTAATGTGATTAAAGAATATGCTTATCAAGCTGGCGATGCCTTGTATTATTCATTACATGTAAAATTTCTGCATTTAAACAAGTTTATCTATCAGATATTTTGGTCTGGAGGTGATAGTTACTAAAAATAGCTTTATTATCTGATGGATTGTCAGGAATATGATGTTGAAGACTCTATTATACCACTTCAGCCATCACTAGACTACACTGCACCAGAGCTGGTTCGAAGTAAGACATCTTCTGTGGGGTGCTCCTCTGATATTTTCAGTTTTGGATGCCTTGCCTACCACTTGATTGCTCGGAAGCCTCTGTTGGACTGCCACAACAATGTGAAAATGGTACTTGCAAATGTAGTTGTTTTTAACTTAATTACTAGCAATTGTGTGTAGCATCCTGTTAGCATTGCTATTCATACTAGATTTTGAGGGTGTTTGGATTGACTCGTTTTAAGTGTTTTTAAGCTCTTTTTTAATTTTTGTGGTTTTTGGGAAAGATAAAAAGTGCTTTAAGCACTTACTTTTTGGCTAAAAAAGTACAAAATAAGGTTAAAGTTGGGTGTGACTACCTCATGGCTTAAAGCCACCAACAAGTTGAGCACCTACTCATTATCTCTCTCTTTATTGAACTGTCTGCATGTGCAAGTTTTGAAGGTCTTGATTTAATCCATGCTATGTATCTGCCCTAAGGTTATGTTGCTCATATATGGGTGTGAGGACCCACATGGGTGCAGATCTAGACCTCGGATTTGTTATCACCAGTACGATTAAATTCTTTGTAAGCATTTAATATTGTATAGTAGAAAATGTTCTAGTATCTTGTACAATAGAAAATATTCTAGTATGTGAATATATATACTACCATATGTGTAGTCAAACTGTCAAAGCACCCAAGTTTGGTTTGACCAAATCTAGTGTAGAACTGTGGATTCCCACTCCTAAACCCAAATGGGAATCACTCAAAAGTTCAAATATTACTCTTTTCTCATTCTAAAACTTTATGTGTAGCTACTAGGTACATCTCTAAAATTATCCTGCAATTTTCTTTCTCAAAATATGTGATAGTTGAGGATAAATTGACTTAGTGATCTAGGCCAAAGGGAGTTGGGGTATTCCTTTATGTATGTCTTAAGCTGCAAATGAACTTATATGTTCTTGTAGGGGAGAAAAAGCGGTGTGCTCTTTGGTGTTGAGTTACTCATGAACCTTAGTTTCTGTGATCAAATGGAATCGTCTCAACCAAAACTAGCAAACTTTTAACTCAACCAAGATAATTTTTCCTGAGTGAGACATCTTTTCCTCTAAAACTGAAGATATTTGAGAGTTATGAAAGTTAAATATAGTAGTACCTTGTTGCATTGCTGATGTATTCTCTTTGAGATGTGTTAGATGAATATTGATGAAATATTACTTTGGAATTATTGTTGCTCTTGTTTAAGGGTTTCTTTTGATAATAGTGGTCCTTGTACAACTTTCTTGCAGTATATGAATAATTTGAATTACTTATCCAGCGAGGCTTTCTCTTCGATTCCACAAGAACTAGTTCCGGACTTGCACAATATGCTTTCTGCAAATGAGGCTTTGAGACCAACTGCCTTGGGTTTTACAAGTAAGTGTTGCCATTGCCTTAATGTCTCGTGAGGTTTATGCATTTATATCAACCAATCTTCTTTATCTTTCTGGTAGTTTATTCTATTTTCAAGGAAGAAGAAGAAAGAGTGAAAAATATATTTCAGGAACCCCACAGCACAGAGCCTTGATAATTTAGAAAATAGTTTTATTTGTTACATTAGTATCGTTGTTTTCTATTATGTTCTGCTTTACTGCAGACAACATTTGGAAGCATGTCATGAAGTGCAATATCATCATGATTAGTCTTCATCCATTTCACATCTACATTTTACTCATCATCAATACCAACAACATATCCGCTATAATCCCACCAGGTGGGATGATACCGTAAAATATTGGAATATTGTAAAAAAGCTTGCATCATCAAGGGGGCTGTTTATCTCTAAACTTTTAATGATCAATCTGAATCGTGTGACAATACATAAATATCACGGATTAGAGGGGGTCCTAAACTAAGTTGATTGGACTCAGGCGCGGTTATCCGACGCGGATGCGAATCCAAGGGTCAGTTTTGGCAAAATCTAAGTTTTAAGATTTGGGAGTACGATCCCGATATGGATATGGGTTCTGGGATTCTGCTAAAAAATTAAAAATTATAAAAATCGAGCTATAAAGATATTCTCATTTTTGAAAGAACTTCTAGGTAGTCTTTCCCAAGACCCCCACTTCTTTCAAACTTTCTTGTTCCCTCAAAAAAGATAAAGACAGTTATTCAAGGCCTTCCACCAACTCTCCTTACAAATCATTGCTACCATATACCAAAAGTCAGAACACAACCGCTTGAATTCTTAGTTTCTCTCCGTTTGGCATGAAACACGAAGCAACAAATATTGACCAAGAGGAAAAGCTAAAAAAAGAGTTAAGGTATGCCATTCCTCATGTCTTAAATCTATTTTATCTTTTATCAAAATCTCAATTTCCCCCAAAATTTGTCCATCGACTCTCCTCAAAGTATCTGATGTGGGTTTGACCAAATTCCAAACCTGCACCCGCACTGGTTTCATGTCGACACAGGTGCGGCAACAAAAATGATGAGTCTACACAAGTTAGGTCCTAAGTCGTTAAATTTTATAGTGGCATATTCCTTGGTTCATCATAATTATTTATTATTCCTACCAAGTGAAATTCAATCTCTCTCTTTGCCCATGTTGCCAAGGCCTTAAACCAGAATATCTCAGTTTCAATAATCTGATCATATAATTGAGAAAGTGGCGTTGGTATAGATTGAAGATATGGCATTTCCAAATTACCAAGAAAAACAGAAAGAAAAGAATAATAAAGTGTTGGAACAATAACAAAGAACAATTACGTGTTAGGACATGACCTGCAAGTGAGAATGTGAAATATACTGATCATTATTTTTGGAAATAAGCTTAATTTTTAGCCATTGTTGGGCAATGTGTTTAGTGGAGGTGAATACGGTGGAACTTTGTACTTTCTTGTTTAACCGAGAGTGTATTCTGCTTCGTCTAATCATAATGATGAGAATAATTGATTATTCTTTTTTTTAATGAATGGCAAGAATAATTGATCTCAGGTGGAAAATGTGATTGAGAAGTGCAGTTTACATATCCCGTTCTTATAGATATTAATTCAACTTATTTGAAATCAAGCTTATGCATCAAGAATTTAAATTTCACCGAAAATTGTTTCTTTTCCTTACAGGTTCATCTTTTTTCCGTGACGACACTAGGTTGCGTGCTCTTCGCTTCCTGGATCACATGCTTGTATGGTTCCATATTTTAGCTTGAGCATGCTTGCCGAAATATATTCTTTATGTTTGGCAAGGGTACAGTGTTGCAAATTGTCTAAAGCTTGGAGTATTGAGGACATTTTTCATTTTGTAGGAAAGAGATAACATGCAGAAATCTGAGTTTTTAAAGGCATTATCTGACATGTGGAAAGATTTTGACTCCCGTGTACTGCGTTATAAGGTTGGAAGGTTATCCCCGTTTATAAGTCATCTTTGATTTGCTAAGTCAATATTCTGTAATGAGGTCTTCTGTTGCTCAAATACTGCTGTTAGTTGCTTTTGCAATTCTGAATGAGCGGAGAATTATTACTTTTGTATTATGATGCAGGTTCTTCCTCCACTTTGTGCAGAGCTCCGGAACGTGGTAATGCAACCCATGATTCTTCCCATGGTTCTGACCATTGCAGAATCTCAGGTATTTTCTGGTCAGCATGTTAATCTGATGTTTGTATAACTGTTACTCTTGACTAGTTTTTAATCCAAAGCAGAACTCCACCAATTGTTGTTACATTTTGAGTGTATGTTTGAATATGTTGCTGCATAGTATCATTCGTTCAATCATGTTATTCGCCAGCTGAATGAGATTTAGAGTCATTTAATAGGGTGGGGTAGTCTCACTCTTGAAGTAAACATTACTATGGATTCTCACTAGTTAATTACTGGACCTATTTAGTGACTTAGAATGACTATTTAGGCCGTGAAGCAGAAAATTGTAACTATAAACTGTTTTGGAAAGAAGCATGTTATGTATGTTATCAATGACTAGAACAATTTATCATGGAGTGTTTGTTAAGGAACATTGTGTATAATTTTAAACAATTGAAGAACACCCAATTATCTAAATGTAGATTAATCCGAGAGGATATCTTGAGAAAATCAAAACTGACTTTTTCTTGAAAGGCAACAATATAATATATAAACTTAAGCACAAAATTCAAACCAACTTTTCCTGCCTAAATTCTGGAAAATGAAAGAATGCATGAACTGAGCTAACTGACTGATTGAATTAATTATACAAAATAATTTTAACTCACCCACCCACTGAGCTAATCCTTTTTTGATGACACTAATTCCACGGGATACCTGCCACTTCTCACCAGCAACAGGTATCGACCAGGCTATGTCAGATGGGAATCACCTAGTGTTTTTGTTTCCGCTGCGCTAGGATCGAACTCTCCATGAGTTCCATAGGTGCATTACTTATAGCTTCCTTGTTTGTGTCAATTGGTACACGCAAGAGATAGGCTAGTTTAGCAGCCTTTTATTCAATTTCTCGTGAAGTCAAATTATTATCAGTGCAGGGATTCAAGCCTGAGACCTCACGACTCTCAACCACTTCATTGGCCATTAGGTCACACCCTTGGGTGCCCCACTGAGCTAATCTAATCTACCTGACTGCCATTCACAGAGCATTGCAGGTCTTAGATATTTTCTGTACACGTTAGCTTTACTAATTTACGTCGCTCTGTCAAGTAATAACTCACATCTTTGTTTATATGTCTGTATAGCTCAATCTTGTTCTATACATCTGAATCTAATATCCTGATGTGTTTTAGCTTGCACTGTGTTTTGTCCCTGTAATAATTTTGTACTCCAGAAGATGTTTCACATTATACATGTTCCATTGCATAATCATGTGGCATAGCTCAATCTTATGTTTACGACAACAACAACAACATACCAAGTGTAATCCCACAAGTGGGGTTTGGGAAGGGTGGTGTGTTCACAGACTTGCCCCTACATTGCAAAGGTAGAGAGGCTGTTTCAATAGACTCTCGGCTCAAGTGAAGCATAATAAAATCAAGTATGATCTATGAAAAGGGAGACACAACAGTGAAGCAGTCATGCTGGGCACAATGTTTGGTTTAGCTTGCATTGTGTTTTCTCCTTGTAATAATGTTGTACTCAGAAAAATGTTCCACATTATAAATGTACTCTTGCATATTCACGTCATTTTGTTTGTCTTGTATTCTTCACCTTTCTGTTACTGAATTTTCAAAATTAATTTGTATATTAGTACAAAGATTAATCCTAATTTTTCTGATTGAATTACAATGACTCATCTTTATAGGCTGTGCCCTTATGATTAACTGATTCACTTCTTCTGCACATCTATTATCTATTAATTTTGTGCAGTATGACTAATAGAGTGGCCACTGCAGGATAAAAGTGATTTTGGGATATCGACCCTGCCAGCTCTTGTTCCTGTTTTAAACAGCGCAGCAGGTGAAACATTATTGTTACTTGTTAAGCATGCAGAGCTTATTATCAACAAGGTAAGATAAAGTTGCTGCTGCCTTTTGGTTGTTCTCTAAACTTTTTTACCTGGTCATTTTTTTTTTTTGAAACTGTAACATTTGTATTTCACGGTAGTACTGAAAACCATATTTACCTGGTCATTTTTAACAATTGCAGCACATATATTCAACAATCCAGGTCATCTATAATGATCGCAGTACATATATATTCAAACTTGTGATAGCAATTCCTCCTAAAAACCTTACAAGAGGGAGGGAAAAAATGTAGAAATAGCAAGGAAAAGAAAACCAAGCTTATCTATGAAGACTGCGAAATACTATAGGTTTTCACTGCTGACAGTGCCAATAGCTTTACTTAGGTCTCATTTGTTTGCACTTAATGGAGGTCTGAATCGTAATCATTCAGATTCAACCCATTAAGTGCATTTGATGCTAGGCAGCAGAAGGCATTTTTAGTTTCTATTCCTACTAGTGTGTTTCTTGAATCCTTACCTCCTTGGTGCTTGTAGGGAATTTTTTGGTTTCCATATCATCTTCCAAGGCCAATCTCTTTCCTTCACCACTTCTACATTTAGCTCCCTATATGCAGATTTGATTGAAAAAATTCCCTTACTGTTTCTGTTGCATTCTAGTCTGTCCACTTAGTCAGTCAGATTGTTATAACGTGCTACTGTGTTATAGAATTCTGTTATCCTCCCAATCTCCCAATCATTCAGATATGTCCTTAGATATAGATTCCATCCTTGTCCAGTCCACATCACGGCAACTGTGGCTTCTTGTTGCTGGCGTAGAGTGTATAGCTCCGGATGTTGTTAATTCATTGTTAAAAGCCCTGCCCACTTGTCATGCCAAAAAGAGGTTTACTGTCCATTTCCTATCCTCACCTTAGTTCTGACCTGCATCTTTGGCCAAAGATTCCTAATAGCTCTCCAGACTGAACATCAGTAGGGTGTTATGACATTCTTAGTCATCCAATTATCTTCCATACCATACTTAGCAAGATTCTTTCCAGAACATTCCTTCTTCAGTAGCAAATTTCCACAACCATTTCATCGTCAGGCTTTGATTCTGCTTTTTTATATTCTTGATACTTAGACAACCTCTGGCCATACTTGTTACTGACAACTTCCTTCCAAAGTGCTTGATCCTCTCTTCTGAACCTCCACAACCATTTTGCTAATACACTTGTTTTGTAGACCCAAGTTTCTGATCCCTAACCCCCCTGAGCTTCTACTCAGCAAAGCAGTTTGCCATTTGACAAGATGTATTCTTTTACCTTCCTTGATTCCCGACCAAAGAAAATCCCTCCTTAATTTATCAAGTCTTTCTTCCACTTTGGCCGGCATTAGGGAATAGGGACATCACATAGGTAGGTAAAGAGTCTAGTACAGAGTTTTTCAGAATGATTCTTCCACCGAAGGATAGATATTGAGATTTCCAGTTTGCCAGCTTCTTCTCAGTTTTTTCAATTATACCATCCCATATCACTAGCTCTTTATGGTTGTTTCCAAGTGGCATACCTAGGAAAACAGTTGGAAGTTTTTCAATTCTGCACCCTAAAATGTTTGCTAAGGCCTGGATCTGTGTAACCTCTTTGATGGGATATATACAACTCTTCCTCCAGTTGACTGCCAAGCCTGAGACCGCCTCAAAGACTACCAATATCATTCTGACAATTCTAATTTGTTCCTCCTTAGCTTCACAAAATATGACAGTGTCGTCAGCATAAAGCAAATGACAAATTAGCATATCCACCCCTGAGAGATTGCCTACTTTGAATCCTTGCAACAGTGAGTTTTGAGTAGCCACCCTTATCATACTATTGAATCCTTCCATGGCTATGATGAAAAGGAAAGGGGACAAAGGGTCTCCCTGTCTAAGACCTCTTTCTGAGGGAAAAAAACCAGTAGGTTCTCCATTTATCAGAATGGAGAACCTAACAGTTTTTATACAGACCTCAATCCATCTCAACCATCTCTCACCAAACCCCATTTCTTTTAACATATTGAGCAAAAACTCCCAGTTAACATGATCATATGCCTTCTCAATGTCTAGCTTGCACATAACTCCAGAGTCAGCCCCTTTGAGTCTAGTATCTACACATTCGCGAGCAATAAGGACAGCATCCATGATCTGTCTGCCTTTTGTGAATGCCATTTGATGTTTGTTTACCAGTTTGCTGATTACTTTCTTCAACCTCTCAGCTAGCTGCTTCGCTATAATTTTGTATACCCCGCCTATCAAACTTATGGGTCTGAAGTCCCTAAGCTCAATTGCCTGTCTTCTTTGGGATAAGATCCACAAAGGTGGCATTCAAGCTCTTCTCAAAGACCTGCTGATCATGAAATTGTCTGACAGTATTCATGATATCTACCTTGAGCATCTCCCAAAAGTTTTAATAGAAGCTCATGGGAAACCCGTCCGGGCCAGGGGCTTTGTCGCTTGCACACAATTTGATTCCTTCTACCACTTCTTCTTCCTCGAACTGTCTTTGTAACCAGTCCTTCTCCTCCAAACTGAGTCTTTCAATGCCTTGTAAGTTAAGACCAGGCCTCCAATTCTCAGTTTCTCTGTATTCTGATAGAAATTGGTAATCTCTGTTTTTATCTCATCAGTATCAGTCAACTCTCTGCCATTTACTTCCAACTTTTCAATTAAGTTTATTCTTTTGTGTGCTGTGGCCATCCTATGGAAGTACTTGGTGTTCTTGTCTCCATGTTTGAGCCATTACATTCTTGACCTGTCTCCAAGCTATCTCCTCATTCCTGGAAGCTTCATCAAATTCCTTAAATAGATGAATTTTTGAAGGAGTTCATCATCAGTCAATATTCTCTGCTCTTGTATCTTTTCCAGACAAGCAATTTGATTGAGTATCTCTTCCTTCTGTTGTTTCCAGTTGACTTTGTTCTCATAACCCCATTGTTTCAACTTCCCTTTCAATAACTTCAATTTGGAAGCTAAGATAAAAGAAGGGGTCCCATTTACTGAGAAGGAACCCCACCAATCGTTTACCTTCTCCCTGAAACCTTCTACTTGCATCCACCATTGTTCAAACTTGAAATAAGATTTCTTCAAGTTTAGCTCCCGCAAGTTAGCATCACTGGATTGTGATCAGACTCTAGTCTCGGTAGAAGACTTTGTCTAATTTGTGAGAAAGAGCCATCCCAATGATGAGAGTGAAGAAATCTATTTAATCTAGAAGCAGTCGAATGATTTTCACCTCTTCTCCACGTGTACAATCCTCCAAATAAAGGGGGGTTAATTAGCTCCATTTCATTTATCCAATCTGTGAAGTCAGACATAGCCCCTGTTAATCTCTGGCCGGTTGATCTCTCCGTGGGATATCTGGTCACATTGAAATCCCCACAAAACAGCCAAGGACCTGTGCATGTGTTCTTTAGATTGATTAGATCCCTCCACAACTCCCTTCTGTTGACTTTGTTACAATCAGCATAAATTGAACTAAGGAGCCAACTTAAGTTCGTATGAATGCCTTCAAATCTACATGTGATTACTTGCCCAGAAGCCTCCACCAATTCACCTTTCCACATTCTCCTGTCCCATAAAACTACTATACCCCCACTTCTCCCCACAGCCTCTAAGTGTAGTTCTCCCAGCCATTGGTTGAACCACAATTGTTTGATCAATTGTGTATCTGCTCCTGTCAATTTTGTTTCCACTAACACATATATATCTGCACCCCACTGTTGAAGTAGACTCGAATTAATCTTCTTTTTTTCTCATATAATTCTCTATAACATAGTATAGTAACTGACCACCCTTCGGTGTATCTGGCTCTTCCACTGCAACACAGTATTCGCTAAAGTCAATCATCCCCAATAGATAAGTACTGCATTTTTAAAGGCACCAATTTCTTCTTGCATGTCTCTCCTAACTCCTGCCCCCAATTGTAGACCCATATATACCGTAGGAAGTTTCTCCATCTTGTTGACATATATTTGGTGCTTGTTTTTATCATTGCTTTGTCACTCATCTCATCTTCTCATTTGTAGGCTAGTCAGGACCACTTAATCTCACATGTTCTGCCCATGCTTGTCCGAGCTTATGATGATACTGATCCACGTTTGCAAGAGGAAGTCCTGAAAAAGACTGTAGCACTTGCTAAGCAACTTGATCTTCAGGTAATTGAAGCCCTTTATTATATTTTTTTGAGGCAAGAAATGGAAAAAGTCCTTTATTATTTCAAAGTGTCACATCAGTTGGTTGCCTGAATTGAGATTCATATACATTTGTATCGAATTCACTGGTTCTACCCGGAAAAGGAAAGGAAAAAAGGCGTATAATCTGTTCCTCTAATGGTAGTTTCTTAATGAAGTTTCATCACTGATGAAGATCTTCAGGCACTTCTAAATTGATTAAGAATGAGTGCCAAAATGAAGTGAAAATAGGGTATAGGGCTGCAGGGTGGTTAGAAACATTTTTACTTAGTTTGCTTTATAGGGGTGAGAAATTTGTGAAAGGCATTGTACTTGCATAAAGTACCTGCTATCTTCTATAATTTGGGTATCGTTATAGTCGACTTACCTGGTACTTGTTGCTTGTGGGAGGTGACAAGTATCCTTTGGAGTTGGTAGAGGTGCATGGAAGCTGTACTGGACCACTGTTATAATAATAAAAAAAAGCTGTCATTTTCATGGAAAAGGTAGAAATAAAGAGATATTGGATCATGAGCCATGGAATTGGAGCCAGACTGTAACCTACATGTTCTTTATAATAATGATGGGCTAGAATGTGATGCAGATACAATTCATTCAGATTGAACCATATTTCTTCGCAAATTCGAAATGTTTAGCATAGTCTTAACTGTTTTTGTCTGAAGTATAAATTATAATATTGAAGTTATTTAGCATAGTCTAAGGGGTCGTTTGGTAGATTATATAAGAATAATGCTAAATCGTTAGAATTGCATAACGAAACCGTCTTTCTGAACTATTGACGTCAACCGTCCAAGTTTCAGATGCTCCAAAATATGGGAACTTGCACAAAACCCAAACAAATGACCCGGCACGAAACCCAAACGAATGACCCGGCGATCGAAGCTACAGGAAAGCTCTAAACGCTAAAAGGATCGGAAAATGAAGAAAATGATCTGGAGGGTCATTACACATCTCTTGTATTTGGGGTAAACTAATAATACTAAAATAAGCAACAAAAGTGAATCTATTTATATTTGTAAATCATTCAAATTTCTACTTCACCAAACTAATATGATAATGTCTCTTCATGAATCTTTCAAGACCATCAAATCTTCTTTTTCATCTTGATGAACTTGTACCAAACTAATATGAGCATCTCTCTTTGATGAATCTTACACCGCCTTCAAAATTCGTTCTTAATCTTGATGAACTTATGTTTGGTATGTCACAAGAAGAAATTATGAAAAATATATTTATGATCTTCATCAAACGCTATTATGCCACAAGAAGAAATTATGAAGAATATCACATCATCTTTTTTATGTCCTCTCTTTTGATGATTAAACGCGTGGTCTACGAAAAAACTGAAGGAAAAAAAAATACAAAAAAGGAGAAAAATATTTATAAAAAAAAATAAAGAAATGAAAAAACGGAAATAAACAAGCAGCAACTCCATACATCGTTATTTATAGATTGATTAAGCCATAAAAATAAGTTAGAAGGGAGTTGAGGAAACTTGCTATTTTAGTAGAGAATGTAATAGATGGAGGTATTTTTGTTACTCATAACATATAATTAGATGTAGTAAATACGGTAGACTTTCTTTTAATTACATCAAACAAATTTATTATGGAAAAGAATGAAAGAAAAAATTCAAAAAAAGAAAATAAAAGATAAATAATTTTCTCGGTCATAGAGAGGTGATACATCACCTTGGCTATATCTAGCTTTATTACATATGTAAATTTTGCTAAAGCTGATCAAATAATTTAACTCGCAAGTGCTGGATTAGCAGTAAATTATCATTTTAACAGAAAAGTTCAAAATGTCTTAATGAGTTTGAAGGCAATCAAGAGGAAAAAAAGTTATCATTGCCAAATAAGTGAATAGAATTCAAGATATTCAGAGAATGGGTACCGAGGAGAATTGAAAAATATAATCCTTATGAAAATTATCAGAACTTCAAGTTTGTGGGGAGTTCAAATCATCTTTCTGGTGGAGAAAGTTCTTTTCCGGTTAGAGTTATTTCTCAGAATATGAATTACAAGTTGAATGACTTTATTGATATAAATATAAGATAAATGACTTCACTAGTTAATTTCACTTGGTTAGTGACCATTTGGGAAGTTACTCCATAAAGGTTCAAAAAAATGGTTTAATCCGAGTATTCAAGATTTAAGACAAACATCGACACATTATTTGACAAGTCTTAGCCTTTTATTGGATGTTTCAAGTGGAGTTACTGAACTTTACTTTGAATTTGAAGTTTGTTTACAGTTGGTTTTTATGCATATGGTAAGCTATTATTAGTTGACCGCTTGACATTAGTTTTTTGCAACAGGATTAGACAATGAGAATAATTTCTCTTTCGTTAAACATTGATATAACCTGGATATGTGGCAGGGGAGATATTAATTCTTGGATGTAAATGTAAAACCTTGATGTGTTACCACATATGTCCTAGGGGATAGATTAATGTGGATGCGAGTAAATATGAATTTAAGTTCTGGAGAACTAGTATCACTGCTATTAACTTGGAAGTAGTTTCATATTTATGTTTGTAAATGCTTGTTTATTTATGTACTTATCTATTTGCAGTTAGTAAAACAGGCAATCATGCCTCGCGTTCATGGGTTGGCATTGAAAACGACTGTTGCTGCGGTACGTAGTCTAACATTTTGTGCAGGAATGTTATTGCATGAGTTACTCTAGAGCATTGTGACTGAAAATGAAAACACCAGAAAATCCTGAATGTTGGGAATTGAAATTCTTAGCGATTTGTCATCTTCCAGGGAAATATACTGCTTGCGTTGATAGGATGAGTGCTTTGGTATATCAATTTCCTGACTTTTGGGTCACGTTAGTTTTTTTACCATGTGAACATACATAAATATATTGTAGGTCACATTAGCTTTTTCCCTTGTGAACAAACATAAATCTTTCTTTTCTTTTTTTTTAAACAAGGGCAAGGACATGCTGGCAGCCTCCAAAAGATTTACATAAATTATCAATCTACGACAAAACAACTACTAGATTACATATTTCCTATAAAATCTATAATTTGTGCATTCTGATTTATTCCTTCTTCTTTACACCAAAAATGAAAGGTTGTCATTCACAACCATTTAACCTTCTCAGAAGTATTAGCCTTGTTTTCGAAGTGCGTACTGTTTCTCTCCTTCCATATGGACCACCATATGTATGATGGAATCATGCTCCACCATTTTTCTGAGTTTTACTCCCCCTTTCCTTCTGATTCAGCAACTGAGTAAATCTGCTGTGCGTTCTGGCATGGTCCACTCTGTTCGTGTTAGGCCCAAACATAAATCTCTCTCTCCTGACCCATGAGTTCCTTTTCTAGTGTCACTGATTGTAGAGCTAGGCCGTTCTTTTGGTTGGTGACCAAGTTGAAGTCACTGGTTGTTGATAAGCCACCCTTCTTTGGGTTTGTTGATCAAGTTGAAGATTGATAGAGGAACAATTTTTTTTCTTGTCAGGTGAGGGTCAATGCACTATTATGTTTGGGAGACATGGTCCACACACTGGACAAGCCTGCTGTTCTAGAGATCTTACAGACAATACAATGTTGTACTGCGGTTGATCGTTCTGCACCAACTCTTATGTGTACCCTTGGGGTAGCCAACTCCATCTTGAAGAAGGTATATTTTATCTTGGTCTACCTTATTACTCGTGTTTGAAATGATAGTATCTGATCACTTGCCTAGCTTTTACTTAAAATTTACTTTTCCTCAGAATGGGATAGAATTTGTGGCAGAACATGTCCTTCCACTTCTCCTGCCCCTTCTCATTGCTCAACAATTAAACGTTCAGCAATTTGCAAAATACATGGCTTTTGTAAAGGAGATTCTCAGGTATATTACCATTTACATCCATCCACCAATACTCATTTTCTCTCATCATATGTCATACATAGGGGTGCTAGGAATTTCAGATGATAAAATAACATATATGAACTGACTGGTAACTGGTATTTTCTTGTTCTGTGATTATTTCCATCATGAATAATTGGATTGGATACCAACTGCAAAACTTGTTCGCTTCATTCTTTGCTTTTGCTCAGTGTTGTTAAAGGCACGTTTAAGCCCTGAAACAAGGCTCAAGCATGTTGAGCGCTTCAGTTCGCGTAATGTGCGCTTCAATATTGTCATCAAGGTTCTAAGGCATATTTTTCCTTGCTAGTGATCCTCTTCTGAAGAGGCAACACTAAACAATTGATATTTTTACTTATTTTAACTTCTTTCAATTTCTTTGTCATATATTTGTCATTCATGCTTATAATTATTAGTTTTGAACTAAACATATATAAAAAAAAAATTCTATCTTTGCACCATTTTTCATTGAAGCCAACTCGTTGGGCTTTATTTGCGCTTAAAGCCCCAACCGACCTAAGAGCATTTTTGCTTTGGATAACACTGATTTTTGCTTAATGGAGACAACCAACCCCCATCCCACACACACGAAAAAGAAGGTTGAAGAGGAAACCAAGGAAAAACAGTTTTACATGTACAGGAATGTAAGCCCCAAATTGGAGATAGGAAAGAGTATTAATGGGAGGAATTGAGTTATGCAAGTCTATTTGAATGGCCTTGGGCCATTTGTGGAGATTTCAGTGTCACAAGGTTCCCATCTGAAAAAATAAATTGCAGAGAACCACAAAAATGTAGGATTTCTCTGATTTCTTTGAAGATATAGAGCTGATGGTGGACTTTCAGCTGGTGGTGGTGGTGGGGATTATACTCGGATTAAAGGAGATAGGTCTAATGCTGCATCCAGAATTGAGAGAATTCTTGTATCCAAAGAGTGGGATGACAGTTTCAGGAAAATCAAATAGGTTAGGCGGCAGAGATTTGTTTCTTATCACCATCCAGTGGCGTTACAATGTGGTGAATGGGAATAAATCAAATCATATTTCAAATTTGACAACTGTTGGCTGAACACAAATGGTTTTGTGGATAGAGTTTAGAGGTTGGTAGGAATCTTTTTGATTTTACTGGAAAGGCTGATAATATCCTAGCATGCAAACTGAAAGCTTTAATAGGACAAGCTAGAAGAATGGAGCATGCCCGCCCTAGGTGCAATCAAATGTATTTTCTTAGATTACAGGATTCTGCCCTTCTGTATGCCTAAGGACTTCTAGTAGAGAGAACTTGCAAAATTTATTGGGTTCTTCATTTATATCATTTCCATCTTTTTGTCATGCACATTTTACAGGAAGATTGAAGAGAAGCGAGGAGTAACACTGAGCGACTCAGGAAATCCAGCAGTAAACATAAAATCATCTCTTACTGTTGATGCTCAGATACCTGGACATGTGAACAAAACAAGTGTGAGTTCTCAGTCTACCACAAAACGCAGCCCGTCATGGGATGAAGACTGGATTCCACCAAGGGGATCTTCAACCACCGTGCAGTCTTCTATGGCATTGCCTTCCCAGTCTACTTCTGCAGGACAGTCTATCCAAGTTACTTCTGGGCCTTCACAGTCATACATGACATCTACTGTATCTGGTCAGCAACTATCATCTTCATGTCCTGCAGTTGATGTGGAGTGGCCTCCTAAACCTTCGTCATTTGGTACTACCATTCTAAGTGATTCTGAGAAACAATTAGAAAACAAGGGGGCATTGGGTTCAAGTCTTGATGATATTGATCCTTTTGCTAACTGGCCTCCCCGATCTAGTGGTTCCTCAGCTGCTTCTCACTCTTTGAACAATGGATCAACGGCCCCGTTCGCAAACAGACCCGTGTCTAACAATAGTGCTACTCTTCTTAATGGTTTAAACTCTCAAACAAATGGCCTTGATCCATGGGCTTTCAGCACCCCAATTTCTTCACAGCCCTTGAAACAGAATCAAGGGATTACATCACGCCCTGATAGTATCAGTAGTGGGGGTCTTGACTCACAGAGTTCATTTGGATTCATGAAACATAGTCAAGGGTCATCATCAGCTTTGGGTGCTTCTAGTGGTCGAGCAACCAATATTGGATCAATATTTTCTTCGAACAAGGGTGAGCCGACTGCTCCAAGGTTGGCTCCTCCTCCATTAACTGCTGTCGGTAGAGGAAGGGGAAGAGGTAGGGGAAATCAAGGGCAACTCAGGTCCTCAACATTAGGGTCTGGTAATGCAAAGTCTCATCCAGAGCAACCCCCTCTACTTGATTTGCTCTAATTGCCAATATGCAGATCCCTTGCGATGCGAGTCCAGTGATCTGATTAAAGATCAATCTGGAGAGCTGTTGATACCACGTGATTAAAGATTTTTGCTAGCAATGCCATGGAGAAACCTGTTCATACTCTTACTGCATGGCAGTGTTTGCCTGGGTAGGCAAAGATTGTTGTAGAGTGACTCTTTTTGTAGAATAGTGTGGCTGAGTTTTGGTTTTCCTTGTTTATCATTTTTATTCTTCATTTAATTTGTTGAACAAGGGTTGCTTTGTAATAATTGTATTTTTAAAAGTAATTAGCTCTCAACGATGTTTAAGAAATAATGAAAGAGATGGGTGATGGGACATTTCAATCTTTTCTCTAGAATACGGGGCTTATGAAATTCAATTTCCTCTTTTATGAAGTGTTCTTCAAATCATGAACATTGAAAATAGATTTGGTAATGCAGTAGTGTGAGTATTACAGGGGTGGCATTGTAACCCTGTTACTGTGATAGTTGATAACTCTAGCATATATAGTTCAGTTCAATGCAGTTGAAACAACATTAGATTCAGTTGATAGAATTGTTCTGCAGTTATGAGAAGAACTGACCATGCATGAGGTCCAAGAATGTTGTGGGCGGTACGTTTTCATGTGTTATCTATATGATTTAGGAAAATTAGTAAACTAGTCAAAATTCCTAGCATAATTATCAAAATTCATTTACTTTCCTTTTATTTTCAAGTTTGGTTCACGTTTGACTTCACTATTGTGAAAAAAAGAAAAGAAAAAAGACTCCATTTCCTTTTTTTTCTCTCAATTTTTTACCCACATTCTTTCCTTCCTTTCTCTATTGAGATTTTATCCATATTCCCTCTCTCCTCAATTAACTTAAACTTTTCCTTGTTTAAATTGAAAATTTTCCATTTTTCTAAGAAATCTCAGTAGTCATGCAAAACATTTTTAACTTTTGATATAGGTAAATACATCATGATAAAGTATCATTTTTTTGTATACTATTGTTCTATGTTTTTGTTTGAAACTGTGTAAATTTTTGTTTTCTTGTATTGTCAATCTCTTCATTTTCAGTTAGAGTTTTAGATAAGGAGAAAACATAAAAATTTCACTATAATCTTTTATTCAAAGAGGGCTATAAGAGGGTATCCCATATAATCAACTTTTTGGGGATTTTTCCTCTTTTGATTTATCCATTTCTTAGGATTATTAAAAATATATATATATTGTGGCTAAAATGGCTCAAGAAAGGAGATATAAGTTTTTTCATGATTCTACCCGCATTCAAGTTCAAGATAGAGGGCAGTGACACTATTAATTAAAAAAAATGGGTGAATAAGATTTTGAAAAACTCGCTGAAGACCAATTTCCTATTAGTTTGTTTTGTATTATATATTTTTTTCAGAATGTTGTATCCTTTCTCAATTTTTATTAAAATCAGTATGTATGCTATTATATTTGTATTTATTAAAAATTTCATGTTTCATGATTTTATGAATCTTGTATTTGTTCCTAATTTGTATTCATCCCAAAAGTATTTCAATTAGTTATTTATTTATTTATAGGAAGAACAACTTTCTATTAGTTTTTTTTTATAGTTTTTTTATAGAAAGGGAAAAAAAATTATAAAGAAAAAAAAATAAAATACACAATGAAAAGCTATATAAATACAAATATGTTTTTTTAATAACTACACAGATTCATTTGACATACTTCTTAGAATGAACACAAACTAATCAAGAAATACAAGTTCATTATACAAAATACAAGATAAAAAATAAATACAAATAGTATACATATTGAAATTAATAAGATTTAAAAAATGATACAAAATTCTAGAAATAAATAAATACAATGTGAGAAATGTATGTCAAATAACAAATAAAACTATAGGAGTTCAAATTTGTTAATTAAAAAAATTCAAATTTAACAGATAAAACTATAAGGTATTATCATTGAGCTTCATAACAATAATTAGTTTTGAAAGAGAAGACCAAATAATGACGCAGGAGAGACATTTCTACTAAAAATAAAACAATCATAATTTGGAAAGAAAAAATAGTTTGGAGTCAAATTTGAAATTTTAGGAAGAAGGAAAATAGCCCAATTTTTTTGGGTCTCATATTCTTTTGTAATGTAAGTAATGAGGATATTCAATAGCTTTACCTAATTTGAAATATTATCTCCCTTGATTTTCTCTAACTTTACCTTATTTAAAATATTTATTCTTACGTGTTTATTTCTTTCATCGTCTACATCTTTTGCTCCTCATTTACATTTTCTAAGTGATAATTTCGAGAGAGTTAATATTTCATATTTATAATTTTATTTTTAATTATTTATATTTTCAAAAATAATTTGAGAATAACTAAAAAGGCAATACCGAAAAGTGATATTCAATCTAAGTCATAATCTTTTTTCTCTATAAATATACATTGTTTTACAAATTCACTTAATATGGAATAAAAGTAATATGTTACTATTAATTATTTTCGAAAAACTTACAAATGTATAAGGATATATATAAAAAAGAATGTTTTATAAGTAGAAAAGCTTATAGGGAGGAAAATATATTGTAATTGACTTGCATGTTCACTAATAATGTAAAAATTAGCTATTGTTCAATAATCAAAACATTTGAAAAAGCTACAGTAAAACCTATATAAATTAATATAGATGGGACCATAAAATTTTATTAGTGTATAGAAATATTATTTAATCGATAATTTAATATTTATTAATTTAAAAATGGTTTGAGATTTAAAGAAAGTTAATTTTGATTATACCAAAATCATTGTATCTTACTAATTTATGTATCATAGTTATTGATTTCGCATAAAAAATAATAATACATAAAGTACAACGAATACATCAAAATCATTGTATCTTACTAATTTCAACCTTATACTGTTGTGATAATAGAAAGCTTTCAAGATGTATTATCGAACATATTTTATCGTGGGATATAGAAGGCCATGAAGTGGGACAAATTGATCCAGCAAAGACCAATGTTTTGGACACCATTGGAAAAAGCAATGTGGAAAATGATACTATATCTTTGACACCAATAATGTATAAGGAAACATTTATTGCATTTAGAACTCATCATAATTTTATGGTACAATTAGAAAAGACAATACCACAGCTCTTGGATGCAATAATAAAATTTAGAGATAAACTTCAATTAGATTTAAATTTTAAGAAAAAATCAGAATAGAATAAAATAATACTTTATTAAATTATCGTACTTTAAAAGAATTACTAATTTATGTTATTAATGGGACCATATATTTATATAGGGGTCTGCTGAAAATATATTATCTGTTATCTTATCGAAATTGGCGATTTCTTTCACTACCCAAGTCGTGACCAACGAAAAATATAATTTTAGAGAGATTATTAATTTACAGAGTATTAATTATAAAATTTTTATTATATTATTCATCACTTTTCATGAAGATTTTTTCCTTTAAATCCGTTTTTACTGATTATACTATAGTTTTAATACTATCTAACCATTTTTAAAAGTATGCATTAATAAACACACGTGTAACACACATTTCAATTAATATCTTTGGTATAGAAGCAACAAAGATTTATTCTTCCTAAGTCATTTTGTTCAATTGTAACAATATCTTTGGTATAGAAGCAACAAAGATTTCTTCTTCCTAAGTCATTTTGTTCAAGTAATTTGTTCCATATTTGTCCATTATTGAGTATTGACTTTACACACTTTTTTTTAAAATTGAAATAATAGAGTAATTTTACTATATCTCTTTGAAAATAACAAATATAATGTCTTGAAAAATATAATAGAGAAATGTCTATAATCAACGATAAGGGCTTAGAAATTAAGTATAAAATTATTAATTCATTGATTTTATAAAGTAAACAAGTATTACTGGACATTCCAAAATAATATAATGGACAAGTATTATTGAATACCTACATATGAATTTTCACAAAGTTCATGAACAAATAGTGACATATGCAAAAGGTAAACTATATATGAACATAAGAGGTTTTGAAGAAAAAGAGGAGAATTATAGATGTCAACTTTGTGGGAAAACAGATGAGACAAAATTATATTTTCTTGCATTGTAAATTCACTGCTCAGTTATGAAATTAATTTTTTGCTCTTACAAACACAAAATGGACCATGCCTTACCACACTACAGATCTTTTGAGCTGCTGAATTAGAAGCGGTCGAAGCAAAAATCAGAAGACATGGTAGAAAATCACTCCACAATGCATCTGGTGGACTGCATATACAAAAACGGTAAATGTTTTGAAAAGATAAGTCTAATTCCATTCACAAAGTTACATGGAATTATATTATATCGTTCTTTTTTGGAAAGATACATAGTTTTCCACTTGAACTTGTCCCAAAAAGTCAGTTTCACTCTTAACCTATCCTAACGATCTATCACAAACCTTTACTACTTAAAACTTATTCTATTTACTCCTAAAACTGATGTGGCCAAAAAAAAAAACAGTAAATAAAAAATTGGTGCATCAGAAAAATTAAAGTTAAATTCTTTTTTTAGAAAAATCAAAATCTTCCTTCCCCTCCGATTACCCTTAAGAAAAAGAATTAAAAAAATTAAAATCTTCCTTCCCCTCTGATTATCTTTAATTTTTCATCACAACCTCAAGTATTCACAATGATGTGAGTGTAGTAGTGTTGTTGTTGATTGTTTACGTTATTTGTTGGTTATTGAAATCTGAAAGTGTGGAGCTCTTTGAAAATTCATGGAGCCATGGTTGACGCTTTGAGCTTGGTGACACACCTGTAAAACAATCTAAAGAATAAAATCGCATAGGGATAGGGTAAGGGGGTCTGATTTGGTGTTTGTTGGTGATTGATTTGAATTTTGAGTGGCTATTTTGTGGTGATTGTTGTGTGGTTGATGGTTCGTCGAAAAAGAAGAACAAATAGCATTGTGGAGGTGGACTTATGGTGGGAATGGGTTGGGGTTGGTTGTTCTTCGCCAGAGAAGACAAAGAAAATTCTTGTATAAATTCAAATGAATGATGTCTCTGATGAGATTAGAGATAAAGTGAGTGAGAATTTAGTGATAAAGAAGATATAACTAATAGAGAATTTTAATAATTAATTAGAGATTAATTAGTGAAAAATAGAGTTAACAAAAAAGTTATTTAATAAAGAAAAGAAAACAAAAAAAAAAGTAAGAAATTATAAAATTTTATGTGGCGCTGACATGACATCGAGTGTAATTAATACACAACATGATTTGAGAATGTTGTTACACGTCTCAGGGTGTATTAAATTCATTTTTAAATAGTAAAGGTGTGTAATAGGTCGGCACCATAGTTTAAACTAGCGTTTGACCATAATATTTCAATTATTCTTGGCAAATGTTATTTGGTGAAAATTTGAATGAAATTTCACCATGTGTTTGGTCATAGTACTTAGAAAACATATTTCATTCTATTAGAAAATATAATTTATACCCATTTACCTATCAGAACGATCCATAAGTTTGTATTACAGGCCAATTGGATTTTCGTTGCAACAAATAACAAGTAGTGTCTATGATACTAGATCAATGTGGTAGTTTGGAGTGAGTGCAACAAACATCATCTCATACATAGTGAAGTAGATAAAGCACATGATTTTGTTACCCTGAGTTGTTCACCATTTTCATCAACAATCATATCATCACTTTCATATTCACTGAATATTTCATCAATATTTGGTGTTCACATAAAAAATGATGCAATACAATGCAAACAACTACTATAATGGATGTATTTGTATAAGATAAAAGTTTGATGTAAAATTTCAATTTTTAAAAGATCCCAAATAATGTAGTTTGACTCAAATACTTGAAAAAACTAGTATTTGAGAATTTGGGATATTTGCCAAAAATATTTGACAAATAATGATAAACTCTATCGACAAACAGTATTTACCAAATTTTCCCCCAAAATATTTTTTGGGAAATCTATGGCCAAACGGGTCCTAAACATGTTACTGACTTTTTAGGACAAATTTAGAAGACAATTTATGCCTTTTTCCTTCTTTTTTTTTTTGGTGTAAAAAACAGATATAGAGAAATTAGAGCTTTTGTAGTAAGTAGTTTCACCCTTATTCTCTTCTTTTGTTCGTCTTTTGAAGGTTTCCAACATATCTTTAATGTTGAGGAATATAACATTACCAATTTCAAAAAAATATGTTTAATGCAAGTAGAAAGTCTAAATGTCCAATCTATCCATGTCAGGTGTAAACATTTACAGCATATTCTAGGCTGACTACATAAAGATAAAGCCACTAAAAGGAAAAAGAACTTATATGTCAAGGAAAGCAAATATTTTTGTGAACAATCAAACAAGAACAACTTTTTCTTATCAAAAAGCTCCAAAATATCTTAAAACAAAACCACAACTAAGTAAAAAGCCAAAGAAAAACAATAGAATATACTCACGCCTAGCAATGCTGATGAAATGATTGTCACTATATGAATAATTTTTCAATTGCTGTATGGATTGCTATCACGTATGGCCTCACTTTCATGATTATCCAAATTGCACTGGTTGAGTGTAGCTAATCAGCTTTCTGACCATAGGAAGCAAGCTAATCAAAGCAATCTGAAGTTGTTCTGAGCTGTTCATGCGAATACTACGAACTTGCCCAGACCCTTTATTGTCACGTCCAATCAAGTTTGTGTATCGTCCAACAGTTATTTGGGTTTGTGAATTGCATCCAATAGCAAGATCTCCATGCCAGTCCATGACCGAGAGCCCCAACGTTAGATAGTAAATGACCAAGAGGATGATCTGTCTCTAAATGTTGCTACCCCCATAAGCAACATCCCAACTACCAAACATAGCACCCCCAGATATGACCAGCAATACTCATTTGTTAACGATCAATTTGTCCTCAACTTTCACCCCACTTGTCATAACATCACCTAAGAGAGTTACTGAGAGACCAGCTGTTGCCTTATTTTTCCTGTAATTGCTAAATCTAGTCTCACTGCGTAAAGTGTAAGCAAGGTCTTTACCAACCGACTGCATATCAAAACCTAAAGAAGTTGCTTTCCCATCCCATGCTTCACCGAACTTGCTATTTCCATTTGAAGATTGCCGTCCTTTTTGTCCGTAGAAAGCTGACTGGAGAAAGACAAAGGTATCTTGTCTTTGATAACGAACAACCTTTCTACATTCATGCCCTCATAACCAACATTATCGTCCCAACCATTAGGCTCTAGAACAGGCCTCACAAGACACTGATTTGAAGAATCAAGATAACGGTATCTATGAGTTGGGTTATCAGAATCAAAAGAAGCAGGTAAGGCAAAATCTAGCATTGGTACTCGAACAGACGCTGCACTGCCAGTCTCCTCTTCTACTGTTTCGTTGGTATCCATAGGCAAATCCTTAGTTGCAGCATGCATTTTCTTCATCATTCTCCGTCTCTTTCTCTCCTCCTTCAATTGCTTTTTCATAAAAAGCTTTTCCCTGTATTCTAATTCATCATTGTATGTCTTCTTTTGCTCTTGGCTCAACTTTGCTAGCTGGACTTTAGTCAAAGGTTTGAAAGCTGGCAGTTGATCATATTCTGATTCATCTTCAGAATCTCAAGACTCATCCAGATCATCATCTAAAGTCTCATTGTCATCACTAAATTGGTCTGCTGATAGCTTAACCTGTGGTCTTGACTGGAGAAGGGATGAAAGCTGGAAAGGTAAAGGAGGTGATCTTGATCAAGTGGCATAAGTCTGACCTGGTGGACTGTCTCGTAACTCCAGCAATGTGCTTGTCTCAGCCAAAATTTTGGATGCAAATGACAGAAGCAACAAGTGAGGCTTCCAAACTTGACCATTAGGTAAAACTCTCTGCTCAACCCTGTTTGTTCTGCATTTTGAGTGATTCTCGACCAGAAAAACAGGATTCATAAGGCACACATCTCCTGCTGCCTGCCATATTGCTTACTGAACAACATGAGACGGCTGAGTTACAAACATGTCATAACTTGTTGTAGTACCATTGGAGATTTCAGGAGGAGCAGATGCAGCTTGAGTAAGAACAACTATTGTATTGAACCATATTGATGAGCCAAGAACTTCAGTAATTGTCCGCAACAATGTCAAGTCACCATAATCTCTACTTTGCATATCCAACCTGTCGAGATACAGTACAATATCTGATGATGTTTCCTTAATAAATCTTTAACAGAATGAAGGACTTTCTCATTCCGTAGCTGGTCTTCCCAGGAAGGCAGAAGCCCAGGAGTGTCAATTACCCGAACCTTAATTCCCTGCACAGTCCCAACAACATCTTGAACCTTCTTTTTCCCTATCTGAAATGCATCACTACCAAACTTAGCTTCACCAAATATAGAATTTATGGTCGCACTTTTACCAACACCTGTTTTTCCAAGAACCATAATTGTGCAGGAGAAATCCAAGGCTTCTTGTCCAGCTGCCTCAAGTTGCTCGGCCATGGCACTTGGACGATCAAAGCTAAAAGCAGCAACACGACTTCCATTTCTCCCCCTCATCTGTTCATCCAATCCTAATCTATAAAGGACCTGGGCAACAACTACATTATGTGGATTCTGCCCAACCTTATGAGCAAGACGCAAAAACTTAACTCTTATCATCTGGAGTTTCTCGCGTATCTCATCATATTCCTCAGATTCTCCATTTGTGGGTTCTTCAACAAGTTGGTTTTGTACTGAAGACGCGGCTTCATGCACCCAAGCCTGCTGAACCACTTGGGGAGAAGGTTCCAATAGTGGGGCAGCACGACCAAGGCCAACCGGTTGAGCAGGTGGTGGTATACGAGTCATGGATGAACCAGAGGATGATACGAGATTTCTTGCAGATCCAGCTTCTGTTTCTCTCACCCCAGTAAACATTTTGCTTTGGTTCTTTTATAGAAGGCTTTTCTGACTCCTGGGCTACAACATTTTTGACTCCAATAATTGCATCAACTAGTGGAGGTTGAGAAACCTTGGAACTTACTGAAACAAACTCAGCTGTGTTTACACCAACCTTTCCATTGTTCTTGGATACTGAACCTTCCGATGATTTCCAATTCTCATCCTCTGCAGTCACAGTCTCTCTTGATAAATTTACAGTGCGGTTTTCAGAAGCTGAAGTGCAAAATACTGAAGCATCTTTCTGATCATCAACCTTGTCATTTGAAATCGCTAACCCCACAGCAGGTGACTCTTTATCATTGAGGATTTGATCATCAGTAGCATCACAAGTCAGATCATCCTTTTGCTGCTCCATGAATAGCTGAACCTCATCAATCAAATTCCCTAGTCTTACAGCAGGTAAGTCTTTTCTCGTTAATACTTGATGATCAATAGTATCCTTCTGCTCCTCCGCATAGTCCCGAACCTTGTCATTTGACTTCAGTAAAGCCACATCAGGTGACTCTTCTTTCAAATATTGAAGATCAGTAGCATCACAGTTCAGAACATCCTTCCGCTCCTCGGTGTACTCCTGAACCTTGTACTTCAAATTTACAAGCTCCATAGCAGGTGACTCTGTTTCAATTTAGTCCTTGATGGGTCGTAACTGTTAGATATTTATTTTGCAGTATTTGTTTGATTTAGTCAAATAAAAGTAGTTACACAGAGTCAATATGTATCCTGGTCTTTAGCTAGAAGTTGCAGCTTTTAGTGGTCTGTTAACATGATATTTGTTAGCATATTTTTAGCTATTTCAGTTTGTGTACAGCTCTATAAGAGCTCCATTATGTTGATCAATAAACAGAGAAAAATTTCAATTCCCTTTCTTGCTTTCTTTGATATACACAATTACTTTCATCAGTGGTATCAGAGCTTAGATTACATACAATAGCAGCAACTAACATTCAATGACTTCCTCAGACAACTTCGTACAACCAGCTATTTCGCGCTTCGATGGTCACTATGATCATTGGAGCATGCTCATGGAGAACTTCTTGAGGTACAAGGAGTATTGGAATGTTGTTGAATCTGGAGTAGTAGAACCAGCAACAGGAGCTACGGAAGCTCAGAAAATAGAATTTGAAGTCTTAAAATTGAAAGATCTTAAGGCTAAAAATTATCTGTTTCAACCTATTGATCGTTCCATTTTGGAAACTATTCTTTGCAAAGAAACCTCCAAGAAAATTTGGGACTCCATGAAGAAGAAGTATCAAGGCAATGTGAAGGCAAAAAGGGTACAACTCCAAGGACTCCGAACTGAATTTGAGACTTTGCGTATGAAATCAGGAGAGGCAGTTGTAGATTTCTTTTCAAGAACTATGGCAATTGCAACCAAGATGAGAATCCATGGAGAGCGAATGCAGGATGTCACCATTGTTGAGAAAATTCTTCGATCAATGACACCGAAATTTAATTTTGTTGTCTGCTCTATCGAAGAATCGAAGGGTATTGATGAACTCTCCATTGATGAATTGCAAAGTTCTTTGTTAGTTCATGGGCAAAAAATCATCAAGCAGGACAAAGAAGAGCACGCGTTGAAAGCAAGGTCGAGGCAGAGGCCGAGGTCGGAGTAGGGGGAGAGGAAGCTATAGTCGAGGTAATCAATAGTACCATCAGCAGAATGTTAATCAGTTTCAAGGCAGAGGAAGGGGACGTGGAGGACATGACTCAACAACTCAGAAACCAAAGTCAGTAGACAAAACAAATGTTGAGTGCTATCGCTGCCATAGGTATGGTCATTACCAATCAGAATGTCGAACAAATTTAAATAGACAAAGTGCAGAAGTATCTAACGTTGCAGAGAAGGAAGAAGAAGTTTCTCTCTTGATGGTGTGTTGTGCAAGTGAAGAAACTCGACAAAATCTGTGGTATTTGGACACTGGGTGTAGCAACCACATGTGCGGAGACAAGAAGGCATTTTCTGAATTGGATGAAAGATTCCGCAATACCGTCAAGTTCGGTGATAACTTTGTTGTATCTGTCATGGGAAAAGGCAATGTCACTTTACATGACAAATACAACTCTTTTCACACAATTTCTAATGCGTTTTATGTTCCAGATCTAAATACCAGTTTACTCAGTATTGGTCAACTACAAGAAAAGGGTAATGAGATATCCATTAAAAATGGATTATGTCAAATTGAAGATTCAAGGCTGGGTTGGATTGCTCAAGTTAGCATGACATCAAATCATATGTTTCCACTTCCGTTGCAGAGTTCGAGATCTTCCTGCTTCTCGGCCAACATAACAGATACATCGTGGTTATGGCATTTTCGTTATGGCCACTTGAGCTTTGGTGGCTTGAGAACTTTGTAACGGAAGAATATGGTCAGTGTCCTCCCTCAAATTGCAACTCCTTCTCAAGTATGTGAATAATGTGCAGTTGGCAAGCAGCAACGTAATCAATTTCCTAAGGGAAAATCATGGAGAGCCAAAAATGTGTTGGAGCTGGTGCATTCTGATATTTGCGGCCCAATTAATCCATCTTCAAATGGAGGTAAAAGATACATAATTATCTTCATTGGTGATTTTAGTCGGAAGACATGGGTCTATTTTTTGCAGGCCAAATCTGATGCTTTTGAAGCTTTCAAAAGCTTTAAAATTATGGTGGAGAAAGAAGCAGGAAGCCAAATCAAAGTACTTCGCACAGATCGAGGTGAGTAATTCAATTCACAAGAATTTGCAATTTTTTGTGAAAGCAATGGCATTAAAAGGAAACTGACAGTAGAATATACGCCCCAACAAAACGGTGTCTGTGAGCGCAAAAGTCGTACTATAATGAATATGGTGCGCAGTCTCTTGACAAGAAGCAGTGTTCCAAAAGCTTTCTGGCCTGAAGCTGCTAACTGGAGCATTCATATTTTGAATCGAAGTCCTACATTATCTGTTCAAAATATGACACCGGAGGAAGCTTGGAACGGTCAAAAGCCTAATGTTGATTATTTCAGAATTTTTGGGTGTATTTGTTATGCCCGTATTCCAGATCAAACAAGAAAGAAGCTTGGTGACAAAGGTGAGAAATGCATTTTCCTTGGTGTTAGTAATTGTTCCAAAGCTTACAAACTATATAATCCTATCACCAAGAAAATTGTCATTAATCGAGACGTAATATTCGACGAAGAAAATTTCTGGACATGGAGTGAATCTGGTTCTCAACGACAAATTCCAGTAGACTTTGATGGGCAAGATGAAGCTAAAAATCAACATAATACTGTGGTAGTGCAGCAACCAATCACTGCTCAAGATGAACAAGTAGCGACTCAAGTCTCACCGGAAGTTGCAAGAGAACCAAGAAGCAGAAAGAGACCGATATGGATGGATGATTATGAAGTAACAAGAATTGGTCAATCTGAGGATCCAATTGTTCATTTTGCTCTTTTTGCAGATTGTGATCCTGTAACCTTTGAACAAGCTGTAAAGCAATCAAAATGGAGAAAATCTATGGATGAAGAGCTTGCAGATATTGAAAGAAATAACACATGGAAGCTGACTGAGCTTCCGTAAGGTCAGAAAACAATCGATGTGAAGTGGATTTTTAAGACCAAGTTGAAAGAAAATGGTGAGGTGGACAAGTATAAAGCTCGCTTGGTGGCAAAAGGTTACGAGCAAGAATTCGGTGTAGATTATGAAGAAGTGTTCACTCCAGTAGCAAGACATGATACAATCAGATTATTTATTGCATTGGCAGCACAAAATTCGTGGCCTATTTTCCAGTTGGATGTCAAGTCGGCTTTCTTGCACGGAGACTTGAAAGAACAGGTATTTGTCGAACAACCTCCTGGTTATAATAAAGTTGGAGATGAATTCAAAGTGTATTAGCTAAGAAAGTCTTTATATGGACTTAAACAAGCCCCACGAGCTTGGTATAGTCGCATTGAATTCTATTTTTTGAAGGAAGGTTTTTCTAAATGACCATATGAGCATACTCTGTTTGTTAAAGTTGAAGGAGGAAAGATGCTTGTTGTGTCCTTATATGTAGACGACTTGATTTATACTGGAAATGATGCTGCTATGTTTGAAAAATTGAAGCAATCCATGATGCTTGAATTTGATATGTCTGATCCTGGAATGATGCACTATTTTCTTGGCATTGAAGTTGTGCAATCTGTTGCTGGTATTTTTATTACTCAAAGAAGGTATGCTCGAGAAATCCTTGACAGGTTTGGAATGAAGAACTATAATCTTGCCGAAACTCCAACTGGAGCTGGTCTTCAACCTGTGAAATATCCAGAAGATGGGAGGAAAGTGGACAGAAGAGTGTTCAAACAAATCGTGGAAAGTTTGATGTATTTGACTACTACTAGACCTGACATAATGTATTCTGTCAGCCTTGTTAGTAGGTATATGAGATTCCCTCAGGAGATTCATCTTGCAGCTGCCAAACGAATTCTCCGTTACGTGTAGGGAACAATTGATTGCAGAGTGTTTTACAAGAGAGGAAACAAATCAGGTTTTTTGGGTTTTACTGATAGTGATTATGCTCGAGACAAAGATGATAGAAAAAGTACTTCGAGATATGTGTTCATGTTGGGTTTTGGAGCTGTTGCTTGATCTTCTAAAAAGCAATCTATTGTCACTTTATCAACCACTGAGGTAGAATTTGTAGCTGCTATAGCTTGTGCCTGTCAAGCTATATGGTTCAGAAGGACACTTGAGGAGCTGCAGTTCAAGCAAAGAGGACCAACTGCAATTTATTGTGACCACACATCAATGATCAAACTCTCCAAAAATCCCGTGTTTCATGGCAGGAGCAAACACATAGATGTTAGGTTTCATTTCTTAAGGGATCTCACAAAAGATGAAGTCATTGAAGTTCTCTACTGTAACAGTGAGAATCAAATTGCTGATATAATGACAAAGCCTTTGAAATTATGCACATTGCAGAAACTCACGAAGTTACTTGGCGTTTGTAACCATTTTAATTAAACTGAAAGCATTCAGTTTAAGGGAGTGGTTGAGAGATATTTACTTTACAGTATTTGTTTGATTTAGTCAAATAAAAGTAGTTACACAGAGTCAATATGTATCCTGGTCTTTAGCTAGAAGTTGCAGCTTTTAGTGGTATGTTAACATGATATTTGTTAGCCTATTTTTAGCTATTTCAGTTTGTGTACAACTCTATAAGAGCCCCTTCATGTTGATCAATAAAAAGAGAAAAATTTCAATTCCCTTTCTTGCTTTCTTTTATGTATACACAATTACTTTCATCAGTAACATCATCGCTCTCAATGTCCTGCTCGTCCAGGCACTCCTGACTTATCAGCACTGAACTATTCCATTCTTCTCCTTTCAGTTCAACATTTGTGCAAGGCCTTCCTGTTTGGCAATAGATGTGAAAAATGAATAATAGTGTAATGGTATCTATTATTTATTGTTTTAGAAAGAAAATTAACAAACCCAAAAAGCCACAATTCGAGAAAATGTATATGTAATGTTAACATTCAGTGAAAATTCATTTTTTATTGTTCTTTTTATGACCATTTTGTTCATATGATTTAAGAAATATAGTTTTGTTAAGTTGTCCATAAATATTTGAAGTGTAGGAGATTGAAAAAATCTATTTCTTAATCACTATGTATAATTAGTGAAAGAAAAAATAATGAATATTGCTCTGTATCACATTCAAACCCAAAAGGCAAGGAGAACAAGAAGGAGAAGGAGAAGGACCTAGAGATGGGGAAGGAGAAATTGAAAAAGAAAGCGAAAGAGAAAGAGAAAAAAGTTGAAGTCGTCAATTGTGATGCGAAGCAACAATATCCACCATTGATTAGATTGATGGTTATGTATACCATTGTGAATTACTTTTTTTTTGTTGATAAAGTGTATAAAACAAGAGGAGAATTGTTTATTTTTGCTGATAATATTAATGATTCTTTTGTTGAAACAAATGTCAATTATGATGGGGAAGAAGAAATGTGGTGTATGTGACAACATATATAACCTATGTTGTAATTATCACCACATAATTATTTACATGTGCCCCAATAGAAAAAGGATATATGTGGCAACATATGTCACAGAAAGAAGATGTGTGGTAACATATGTCACAGAAAGAAGATATGTGGCAACATATGTCACAGAAAGAAGATATGTGGCAACATATGTTACAGAAAGAAGATATGTGACAACATATGTCACAGAAAGGATATATGTGGCATATGTCACAGAAAGGAGATACGTGTCAACATTTCATTGTTATCAATGTGGTGTCTTTGATAACATATATAACCTTTGTTGTAAAAAAAACTATAAAACTATTTGCATGTACCTCAACAGAAAGGATATATGTGGCAACAGATGTCACACTATGAATTATAAAAAAAAATTAAAAAATTAAAATAAAAATGTCTAAAACAATCGTCCCTTCATTTTCACTCTCTCCTCTCCTCTATAAAAGATCGTTTTGTTTCATATTTCAAATTTAATTTATTTTTACTAATTTTTATTTTCTTTTCTCTCTTTCCTTACTCTCGTTCCATTATTTATTTTGCAGTTCAAATTGTTGCTATGTTTTCTACAAAATCAGTGGTAATATGTTGCAATTTTCTGCTACAACAAAGCATTCTTGCCCTCATCATTTCTAGTTTATTGTTGATATCTTCTAAGATAGTATATAATAGTTATTTGTATTAAATCAGGACTTATTTAGTGGTTTTTATCACTTATTTGTTTGTAGGATGGTTGGGTCGTTATGTCTTTTGAAATATTATTTGAAAAAAAATATATTTTAGGATGTACATGTTGCCACATATGACATGTCTGTTGCAATTTTTCCAACAAAACGTGCATATGTTGTCACATATGTCACTTTAAGATTAACTTAATCTATAATTGAGCAATTTAGGAATGGAAAAATGTCAAATTGAATCAAATTTTAGTACTTTGGACAATAATTAAACAATATAAATATGTTATAACACTTGAAATAACAATTAACATGGGTGTTATAATAACCATCATATGAAGTTACTTGGTTATTGTATGATGAACTAGTGATATGATAGTCTTTGTAAAAATAATTGATAAAATTGATGAAAGTTATTGTATTAGACAACATTTTTATGCTTAGACATGTTGTATGACTATATATTAGTGTTACATGTTGAATTAGGTGACAATTTAATTGAATTAACCCCAAAAAGACCATCTATGATATACATATATTACCACATATGACATGTCTGTTGCAATTTTTTCAATAGGACGTGCATATGTTGCCATATATGTCACTTCAAGAATGAGTTAATCGATAAATTGAATGATTGAAGAATGGAAAAAATGTCATATTGGATTAAACTTTAGTACTTTGGACCATAGTTAAGCAATAAAAATATGTTATAACACTTGGAACAACGATTTACAAGGGTGTTATATAACTATCATATGAAGTTACTTGCTCATTGTATGATGAACTAGTGATATGATAATCTTTGTAAAAATAATTGATAGAATTGAGGAACGTTGTTATACTATACTATAATTTTGTACTTAGACATATTGTAGGTGTCATGACCCGAAAGTACCCCCTAGAATTTAGGGAAAACCCTCGGTTCATGGCAAGGCGTACTTGACCCCTTTGGGGTCTTGTACAAGCCTTTTAACTATCGTTCATTTTATAAGATATGAAGAGTAGTGCGGAATTAAAACTTTTCAAGACATTTAATAAAAACTAGTCTTTCATAAATATTTAGAGAATCTTATCATCACAAGCCAACTTAAAGACATGACATAATATCTTAGAGACACGACCCTTTACATTAAAAGGAAATACATAATAAGTCTTAATAATAAAACTAGAAAAAATAGACTATGTCCTCAAATATATGAGGACATAACCAATCTTGAGAGAGTAGATTTCCCGAGATTCACCTTTAGATCTTCCAAAAGACTTCAACCTATAGTTATAGAGTATGGAAAGGTATAGGGTTAGTACAAAACAATGTACTAAGTATGGCATATGCAAAAATATGCAAAAAGGGATATTTTAATAAAAGAACATTTCATGCCACATAAGTAAAATATTTATGATTTAAGAAGTAAAACAACATAAGAAAAATCATTTAACACTGAATAGAAGAATCTCATAATTTAGAATTTATACAACACATTACAGTAACATTAAGGACTTTTTAGTGAACACATTACCGTGAAAGGCATACTGCAAGTCATGTGAACCATTTTCCCCTTTATGTTTCCCTAACCTAAATTATCCTAAGATTCCCTAAGGTAAGTTAAGAAGGGACCGCCCATACACCCCCTTCAAGTCACAGCAAAAGGATCCTTAAGACCACCAACCATATGCTTACCTTGTATAGGAATCAAATCTATACTCCTAGCTAAACAAGTGCCGGACATACATCCATACAAACTTCATGTAGGTGACCTTATCCAATAGTACTTATAGGTCACACTAAGTGCCATGTAAGAGTGAATCCCATACTACTACTCCCACTTAGTGCTCCTAATGGCTTCCCTTGAATTTGAGCACTTTACATGACTTCACCAAACTTACAGTAAAGTATACCAAACATTACAGTGAACTAAAGAGACTCCAAAGATAGTGAACTTCCTAGGTATTTCCAATGAGGAAGTGAGCTCACTTCCGTTGAAGTTTCCCCAGCGAGGTTATCCTAATACTTTCCAAGATAAGACATGAAGGAAATGTCTAACCACCTCCCTAAATGCACACTAAGGAGATACTTAAGACTACCCACCAAAAGCTTACTCCACTCGGGAGAACAAATCACCACTCAAAACAGAATACATTAGAAGAACACTCAACGAACCACCAAAGACTTCCCTTTCGGAATGACTACTTAGTGCAATGAATAGATAGCATCCCATACCACCACCTACCCTAAGAAGTATACTATTTTAGAAGGTTTGGCACAAAGTCTTCCCTTTCGGAGGGTCCTACTTAGTGCAATGGATAGATAACTTCCCTGTCACGACCCGGATCTGGAATCCAGATCACAACCAGCGTCGTTGCCCTCTCAGAGGTCGCAGACAAGCCTCATCTTGCATTCATCACATTCATCTAGTTAAATTTGCGGAAAATTTAAAACTTTTTATATGTATGAAGTATACATAGACTTCATATAATTATTAACTAGATACGTCATATACTAAGCTCAACATAAGAGAACAACCATCTAACATAAAGAATCAATTCAAAACTGAAGATGAATATATTGTAAATAGTTTACAAAACATGGCCGTACTACAAAGCTTCGAAACGAAGGTGCGAAAGAAACACTGAAGTCCAAACCACTGCAAGTGTCGTAAACCTGTCCTATGACCTGCACCTATAAAAATAGTAAATAGTAGGGGGTAAGTACACCACTTGTACTAAGTATTGGTGTATGTACACATACACATAAAGCTATGCATGATCAGTAAAAGCTCTTCCTAAACGACATGCTATTTAGTCACTAG